GTTATGAACACGTACCTGGATTCCGACCATGCGTTCGTCAGCATGAGGTGCAAACAAATCACTTAGCAATGGAGAGACCGTTAGACCCGGAACTAGATGAATTAATCAGTCTTGTTCATTAGGCTCTTCCAACTGCTCCACCGTCTGATCTGAACTCGTGTTGGAACGAGTTGGCGAGATGGCCCAAGTGGTTAGAGCGCGAATTTACTAACCGGAAGGTCCGTGGTTCGAACCGGACCTCTGCCTCTCGACTTCCACTGTCTAGGCTTGGGCAACCTGGCAGTATCCCAGCCCTCGTGCCTCATTCGGGTGGCATGGCAGTCAGGCACCGAAAGGGTGCTACAGCTAAACGACTGAACGTTGGAACTAGATCGCCACATCTTCACAATGCTGGGAGTTTTGTCTGTGGCTGGGCGCTACCAGGCCCGCTGAAGCACTGGATGTCAGGCAGAATACCGGTGAAAGGAAGGTCTTCGCTGCGGAGTTTTTTTTTATTAGTGAACCACCAACTGAACCGTTACAGACTATTGGACAGGGAAGCAAAACTCATATGCATCTTGTTTACAAAAACTGAATATCCTCTTCCCCTCGAACGCGTCTTCCTGAACTTTCCTGGATATTCCTTGACTGTTGCTCAAATACAAACAATTGCGACTCAACAAACTCCGTAATACACCTCATTTTTCAAGAGACGCGAAGCGGACTTACGAGAAAACGTACTACTCGCATTCCTCCATCAGTAGCATCCACCGTTACACTGGTACTACTTGAACTTGAAGGAAATGTTCCCTCAGGCTCCGAACATACTTTGACCTAACAAATTATCAGAAATCAAGTGAGGGTGAGCTGGGGCGCAGGCTGTGAAGCTTGCTGGACAGAGAAGGCTAAGGGAGTGATGATGCTCGGGAAGCCCAGAATATCCTAATATTCGGCCGATCCGTGTGAGCGGTCTCCGCAATCCACTGGTTAACGAAGTGACCAAAGATCAAACTGGTGTTACCACCTTGATCAAAAAGGACTCCTCGATTCTTGACTGAGCACTATGAACAACAAGTCTGGTGGCCACCGGCTGCCACTTGGCTGAATCTTTCAACTAGAATAAAGCCTGGATGGTCCAACTGTGGTATCCTTTCGGTGCCTAACTACCATGTCACCCGAAGGAAACAGGGCCGATATGCTGTAAGGTTGCCCAAGCCTAGACAGGAAGGGTTGACACGGTCGATATGCTGTCAGGTTGCCCAAGCCTAGACAGGAAGGGTTGAGATCCGGAGGCAGATTCGGAGCCAGTATGTTCACGTCTTAACCACTGAGCCTCCCTGAATGGTGGACCTGGAATCCACACACGGCCTCAGAGCTGTATGATTGCATTTGTCCCCTCAAGATACCAATCTCCTGGTGATGACCCCCTGTATTGTTCAAAGATGGGGCTGAGTTTCTATGCTCGCGCTTGTGTGATCTATTTGCCCACATCTGGGAACAGCAGACTGCTGCAGACAACTGAGGAAGATCCGTAGTAGTGCGCACTTTCGAAAGCAACACCTGTAGTGAGTTTGGCACTCTCAGCGAGATTCCAGTCGTAAAGAGACTTGTTTTTACTTTGTCGCTTTGCGTTGGCTCCTGAAGCATTAACTCGAGAGCAGCAATTGGAAAACTGACCTAGTAGGGGTTGCATTCACCAAAGCTTCACACTCTCTCAGGTGCTAGAACAACGCCACACGTATGAATGACCGACAGTTTTAGTATTTGTGGGTTTCCAAGGCGCTTTTTGTTTTCTTTAAGACACTTGTTGCGTAAGGAACGCCTCAAAAGTTTGTGAACATAATAAGTTCTTATTATTCTAAGTCTTCCAGACGTCTGGGAGTATGCATCGAGTACTTCAAAGGCTTTCATGAAGAAAGTGGTGTCCGAAATGAATACGTCTTCTCTCCATTCCCATTCATGGGTTTCAAGTGAGTGTTTATGGGGTGGCCACGAGAGTTACTGTTCGAAGTATTTGACTGAGCGCTCGAAACTTCCTTTTTTATTCAAGATAGTCGTACAACTCGGACGCTTGATGGTTTCGCTCACATGTGGTTTCCCGGCACCACTCGCACGGACGTTCCAGGCACTGGGCCTTTTTCATCTTCGAATCCACTAGCCGGTGCGGATGATCACTTTCAATTGCCGTCTGATAATTAGTCGGGTGGAATTAAGGGAAGAGGCAGTTGAGATTGTAGATTGCTCTACCCATTTTTGGGTTTGCGTACGTTCCGATTGTAGTGTAACAGGTGAATTAACTGCATGATTCTCTGAGGGGCGGGTCGAGTTGAGAAATTTTGGGACACTAATGGTGGCAAAGAGACATCTTTGAATTTCAAGAGGTGAAAAATCAGGTCATAAACAGATATACAGTGTGTTGGTTATAAAATGTATGCGGCGACAACATCCTGGAAATTCTCGAGCAGCGAAACTGAGACGTACTCAGGTCTTTGGTAAAAGTTGTCTCAGAACCGCATCTTGTATGGGCTGGTGCGTGTGAATCTTCGACGATGTAAATAAAGAGCTAGTGTTCGGCAGTGCAACAGGCTCTTCGATCGAATAATTTGTGCGACAGCAATATGCTGCGATAGCTTGGTCGTGTATTGCACATGCCAAATAATCACCTGCCGGAAAGAGTGCTGCTTCGTGTACCCAATTTAGAGTAGCGCAAGCAGGGTTGTGAGCTCTTGATCAGGCAGACAGATGTGGAAGCGATTACAAAGGTCTGGGTATGGTCGGTGCGACTCGCCTTCCAGGCGCATCATCCCTTCCTTCATGTTTGGAGGCGCTTTAGGTAATGACTGTGTAATGACAATATTTGCCCCAGCTTAGCTCTCCCAAGCTAGCATTTCAGTCAAAGCAACATATGAAGGTGCACAACGTGTATTAATGCCAAAAATCAGGTCATAAACAGATATACAGTGTGTTGGTTATAAAATGTATGCGGCGACAACATCCTGGAAATTCTAACGCCTTCTGGACACGCCACTGGCAACCCTTACTCGGCAGATATTAGCTCAGATTGCCTGTTGGGTTCAGACTTTCAATCAATCGGAGCCGCCTTGATACTTTACTTACAGGTGGCCCGATCTTTTAAGCAGTCGCTTGCGGCATAAGCTTCCTGGTCGTAGCGGCGCTTAGCTTTGAAAGATAAATCGGTATCGGTGCGGAATTCCACCTAGCAGACTGCTACTCGATGCTGATAGTCTGCATGTCAATTCCCATCTAAATTGCGTGAACGGGTATCAGGAAGTGTATTCACCTTGGAATGATTTTGTTAGGCTATTACCAAGTCCTTTCCCCATCCACCTTTACTCTTTTCCTCAAATCATACTGCTTGTGTTATGTACGGAGTGTCGATTGACTTGGTTACGGGTGTTCACAATATACGGTTTGGTTTTCTGGGAAATATCACCGGGACCACCACAACGTGAGTATTTAAAAGCAAAAGGCTATCAGGTCTCTGTCTCCTGGATGGCTCATCCAGCTATCTAGTGAAGTCTACCCAGCGATGGTCAGCCCGCGACTGGAGAACGAAGCATGAAAACCCTTACCAGTAAACTCGTTTGCGTTGGTAATTGTCGTCTCCGCCTAATGGAAACCTCTTGATATAACAAACCATTGGTTAGTCACCCTAATAAATATGGCCATATCGCGCAACCATTGACGATCGTGGATCAGATTGGTCGCCTTTACTCCGCAGGCGTTCATTTCCTGCATTGTGAGGCAAGAGAGCCGGTTAACGTCAGTGAACTGATTTCACCATCCCCTCTAACGCGTGGTTCTTATTCCTTTACTCTTCTCATCCTCGGTTGACGAAATTTCATTTTTGTACACGGCTTATAGTTAAAAAACCTAAGTGAGGTGTATACATGTTTCAGAATCATTCAACTAACTGTCCTGTATACATGTTATAGCCAATATTCCTTGCAAAACTCACTAAACACACGACAAAAATTTAATTGAGCTGTCAAGCCAGGACGTGACAGGAATCCCACCAATGGGGAGATTTACGTGTCATATCCTGTGGGGTTTTCGAACACGCGCAGCGAGAATCGCGTGAACCCCACGAATTAAGGTACCAAGACCCTATAGTAGATGGAGTTGTTTTTATCTGCTTTCTTTTCTGGTGCACAAGCGACGCGTAGAGCCCCTTTCTTTCAAGGATCAAGCTTATATTCCGAAGCATCCGTGTGAGATTCCTAATGGAAACCTCCAGTGCCTTTCTCCAGGGAAGAACGCGGAAATCGCTGCAACACAAGACTCATGCTCGGTGCCGTTGTAAAGCTGTCTAGTGGTGAGTCGCCCTGTGTAGACTGAGCGGTCCCTCTACATTACTGCGTTCGACAGAATTCTGCGCCAAAACCGTCTAAGCGGTTACACTTAGGCGCTGCTCCGACTGGTAGACCTAACATGTTTGGTCAGAAGATCGAACCGCTTGCCGGTCCAGTATGAAAGTGGTGGATCTCCGATTTCCTGTTTGGGGACAGTTCAGGATTTGTAAACCTTTTAGATAATTTACGCTAAACACCACACAAATAATGCTACGGAATTAATCATGACGAAAACCCATACCAAAGTCGTTTTGTCGTTTCTTGTTAATTCCGCAGGAAAGATTACCTCTGTTCTTGTCCGGTGCTCACCCTTTCAGCATCGTGACGAACATATCACATCTACAAACTTCATTGTCATTCGCGTATTGTGTTAGTCCGTGATTATCCGCCGGCTTGTAACACTGAATAACGTACACTTATGGAAGTACCGTCTTCTACCGGAAGTCGCTGTAGAGGTATTCTAACTTGCCACAACTTCTTTATTGCTGAGTCTTGTTCACATGAATAACTAACAAAAAGACTTTTTAATCAGGTGGAAGTTTTGAGACGAGGATTGCGATTCATACCACAGCGGCTGATAGCCGAGACGGTGGAGATTACTATGCATCACAGCGTGAATAAAATTGTGGGTGTGGAACTGGCGAGCATATGAAAAGCGGTCTTAGATACACCGAGTTAACACGTGACTATGTGGTTGTCAATGCATGTAGGATCATTAGCAAAAACAGGGCGGTTGGGGTGAAAATCTCAACCCGACCAGAGCTCACAGAATCTCACAACTATCGTAGCACTAGCTCATCCACTCAGACGGACGGAAAATGCAAACGACGTGAACTGAACCAGGAGAGCCAGAATTTAGGCTGGATCCGATTCCATGTGGGTTTCCCCATCGGTCTAACACTTGGTCACCCACTCTAACACATAAAATCTCTCGGTTGATATCTAACAGAGATTTAGCCAAACTTAGTTGATTAGTTCTCCTTCCGCTTTAAATCTCGACCAACCTTGTAACCTGGTCACTTGGCCTGACGAAGCTTTTGTGTCAAAAGTGAAACGTTGCCCAACAATAAATCTGCCGATTGTTACCAAACTTTTCCGAAAAAGACTTGTCTAGTTCAGATAGTTGTCTTTTCGTGATTTTTATTTGGTGAAATCTCTACCAAACCGACGTGGTACTTTCTAATGACCCATCGTAATCATTTGGTGAATTTCCCCCTTTCGTCATATTTCACAGATTTCTGTCGCGTTTGCCGGTGTGAAAGCACGCCTTTGCGACCGTTGTTCTACCCATGTATGTGCACTGGCAGTATCAAATATATCCATCAAGATTGGTAAGTGCTATTGAAAAAAATAATTGACCCCAGGCTATCAGTTCATATTTTGGTTGGAGCTCGTTTCGCTTATTTACGTAGGCTATGACTTTCCTCTTTGTCAGTGTTTGTCTCTTTGAACTTGTCCGTCGTCCAGTTAGATGTGTAGTCACAGAGGATGCGTCACAACGCTGGAAGGTGGTCCTCGGAATGGCTTTTGTATGACTGCATTCTCAGTGGTTAGGGCGCGAACTTATGGACCACAAAGCCCAACCCAACATCTCGGCTACTCCTGTCTAGGCTGGGACAACCTGATAGTGCCTCAGCCCTCGTACTTCCTTTGGACAGCCTGGTAGCTAGATGCCGAAAGTGTTAGAGCTGAATGTTTATTTTTTCGTTTACTTGCGTACTTTCCCGATCTAGTTCATCCATCAGAAGGGTGGTTTAAACTCCTGTATACATTTCAACCTTTTACATGCTCATTTGATGTCATCAAGTGAAATACTTTATCGTTAATTATGATATTAGAGTTTTTTCGACTTTAAAACAGCTACCTAGAGTGCGCCTTGTTAGTCCTTACCAGCTTCAAGGAACGTTTCAGAGTACAAACAGCAAGATCATTCAATTTTTCCGGTAAGGCGATTAACTCACGAAAATACAGTGTCAAAAACGTTACTATCACCGGATTATTCGCTATAACGGTTGGTTCTAGGTGGGGAATGGATGAGACTTAAAACGGTTCATTTTGAGAAATGTTATACAGAGCGGGACAAATGAACCCCCGTCGCACTGAGCATACTGTGCGTCTAAGATTTCCTCATCTGATCACCCCTCAGCAACGTAGGGGCTACCATTGGTTAAATACAGCAAGCTTCTCTTCACCTTCAGTCTTTCGGCATCCGTAGACTGAAGCTGAGGGCGAATATATATGCGCATCCGTATTGATTGATTGGTCTTATTTATTGTCCACTGTCTCGACTGTAGGGTCGTTGTTCTAGCGGTCCCGCTGCATACGTTTCTTGCAGTGCTTACCTCACGTGATCTAGAGCCGAGTAGAGCGAGAATGTCTGAAAGTTGTCGCAATCTCTTGATAGCTGGTAGCAAGACTGGGGTGCTCGAGTTTGTACTCATTTGTCATTTTGGTTGTTACTTTTACCGACATCGGGAGAAACTGCTGTAAGCAAGGATCAGGTAGTGTTTGATAGACGGTTCTTCGTCGTGCTGCCTTTTTAAAGGTAATGGTAATGATTATCATAACTAAGTCAAATCAAATCAATCGAACATGAATTTTTAGCGCACACTTTCTCACAAATATATGCTAAAATATTTCGGTATATATTAAGAGCTTTGGCTTGAAATACCCATCAATGAACTCTGCACAAATAAGAGACACGATGCTATTACGCAGGGTATTGGGATTGACAGTAGAAACCCAAACACACTAGGGAACTCATGGTTACGGTAAGTGGGTAAAAGTTTATATTTGGAGCGAGTGCTTAAGGTCCAGCCGCAAATGATAACTTCCTGAAGATATCCGTGGTAAGTGATGTATAAGGATTATTCTAGACTGTTCATGCCAATATTTTCACATCAGCAGGGCGCCTTTTGTGATTCAGCAGTTGAGGTGCAGCTGCCAACGGGAAAGAAGTTCATTTCCGTCACTAGCGACTCCATTCTATGCTTTAAGAAAGACATAGTCTCTCTCCTTGAACCTCCCGCGGATCGTGTTCCAGATACGTGCAGAAACGATACCACATCTGAATTATTTTATCTAGTTGGTCGGCTTGCACTATCATAATTACTTGTGCTTCGCCCCATACGTGTATTTCATTCCCCTTTCCCATAGTTTTTTTTGCATGCCATTATCATCCATTTGGAGGATGCGGAAGCTTTTCACCCTTATACTACCGACCAAGTCCACATTCTCCAGGATACAAATTAGTCTAAACTAGTTTGGTGGTCTTTGGACTATCCCCACTGCGTTTATGATCGTCGAGTGCTAGTCAGCAGCCCGTTTAAAGCAAAACCGGGGACGGAGTCTTGAATGGCGCTAATCAACCCTCTAGGGAGTTAAATTAGTCTGCTATGAAGTGACACATTTTTTGGAGGAAGCTGCAGAAACCAAACGTTATTTACCTCTTGCATATCAGAAGGATTCCCAGACAATCAAAGAAAAGTGCATCATTTACGAAAATTTCAGCTTCTTCTAGTATCACTCCATAGGTCGTGCGTAATGATGTAGGATGTTTTGCTGAAATTTTGCCAAGCAGGCGGGGCAAGATATTTTCTCTTGAATATTGCTCTTCTCTGCCGTAACTACCATATATCACCTCCCTGTAGCACTACTAGTAAAACTCTTAGAAGGGACCCCATTAAATATTGAAACCCTATAAGTAACCGATGGGGACGTCACTCTTCCTACTCCATGGAAGGACCGCGATGGCCCAAGTGGTTAGAGCGCGAATTTACTGACGAGAAGTTCCGTGGTTCAAACCCGAACCCTGCCTCTCGACTTCCCCTATCTAGCTTGGGCAGCCAGCCCTCGTGCTTCCCTCGGTATGGCAACTAGGCATCGAAAGGGTGCTACACTGAAACGATTTCTTTTCTCCGGGACTTCTCTTGTAAGGTTTTGTTCGCCAGACGAGTCGATGAGCTGGCACGATGCAGCTGGTTTACAGGTGTTTACAGGTTTTTAACCAAAGATCGATACTTGCTGGAGTCTCAATTATCTGCGTATTCCCTTCACATGAGCCTTATCGTACACGGTTGTTTGAGAATTGTATGAGTACAACTGTTCTCCACTTCAACGAAATGCACATGATCCGGTAGACGCTTCGACGTCAGCTAGGGCATGCGCACGTTTGAAACTACTATTGGCATTGTGTTTCTTCATTGATCGCGAGCACTCCTCACCTGAATTCGGAGCGTCGTTCGGGTGTTGGTTTGGATAAATCTGACTAGTTCGGTTTGGAAACCTGAATATCCTTTTCTGTCTTTGAATGAAAATGTAGATTTTGGGGGTCTGTCTCTTTTGTGTTGCTTCATATTGATGGTGATGATGATGGTCAAATTTGTAGGCGGATGATACTGATTTCGCTCAATACGCAGGATAAGTTCGTCAACCAACCATTGGTTTTGTCCGCATATTTATGAAAACTTCAATCTTTCTCTCTTCATCGCCACCGTCTATCTAGTCTCGTCCGATGGCTACAATACAGCAAACGCCACACCTGTGAGTTATGCAACCATCGGTTCAAGTTCGCTCCGATCTACGCCTCCGGAACACCACGTTTTGTGCCGCCGCGTGTGCTTTTGGTCGGTCTCATAAACAGTGTACGTCGGTCGGTCATTGGATGGTTACACTTACTGCTGGTCTGCGTTGCCTGGCTAGTCGTTGTCCCGCTGACGGCCTGCCGGATCTATCGATGTCTTTTCACCGGCAGTGTTTCTTCTCTGCTTGCCCTCCCCCTTAATATGTTGTCCACACAGCATTTGCTTTGGGATTGTCTACAGGTGAGTAGGGTTTTTTTGTTTGTGTAGGCCTGGAAATGTTGATATTCTCTACTTGCACACGACTTTTCCTTTGAATGACAGTCGATCATCCGAATATAAGGATTTGATTAACTTTTCCAATCATATCTGGTAACCGAACGTTTGCAGCTGAGTTGTCCAGCTTCCCAAAGAAACAGTTTTTGGGTGTATTTTTACATTTCATGGGCTTCGTCTTATTATCCCTTCGGCCCGATAATGAAATGTTACCCGTTTGTGTTTGTTCAGTGTTCCGCCACTGTCGAGCTGCGTGGGCGTCTGACTTATTTACTATGGGAGAGCTTCTCGCGACTGTAGACAGTCCACCACCGAAACTCATCCCTTAGGTGTATCCAATGGAAACTTTATCAGTTCTCCCACTTCATGAGCGAAAGTGTGTACATTTACTAAGGAAATTAGTAAAGTAAACCTTGTGTTCAGCGCTCTGCCCTCTATTTTTTGAGTTTGAGTGAATTTGCTTTGAGTTGATCTCAACTAAGTCACATCGGATCGATTCAAATCCAACAGAGTTCAGCAATGTAGTGTTTCGTGAAGTATGGTTGCCCTAATCTACGGAGACTACCTTTAAAGGTCGACCAAAGTTAGTTACAGCCATTGTTTGGTTCTTCCGAAAAGCGGTTTTTTACCAGTCAGGGACAACTTCATCATGGGAATTAGGTACGAATCATTTCAGAGTGCATCGTTTATTTGGCCGCTCACAATACACAATGCTTGTATACCGTTGCTCTCGGAATCCCCGCGTCAGTATGTAACCCGAGGGTAAAGTGAGATATCAGTAGTTACTCCACAAATTCATCGTAATTTGCAACACACCTTGTTTCCAGCTGTGAATTTACCACGTACCTTCTTCTCGTCATTTACTGCCTGTGTTTCTACGACTGACATTTGAATTGGGTACAATTGAGCCTGAAATGATTCAGTGGTTAGGGTAGGAACCTACTGACTTGAAGGCCCATGATTCGAACCAACCTCTGACCTCTTGATTGTTCCTGTCTAGGCCTGGGCAACCTGGTAGTATCTCAGTCCTCGGATTTCCTTCGGATGGCCTAGAAACTAAGCACCGAAAAGGTGTTACAGCTGAACGTTTTTTTTTCATTTTGAGCACACGTTAGGTCACTCAGGTACCTACCTCAGTTACAGATGCCCCTGGAGTGCGTATAGTATGTTAGCTGATCTGCGACTACTTCCGGGACAGTCATAACCATCACTTGAGAAGCATTTTAACACTCATCGTGAAAGGTCTTGGGTGGTTTTACCAGCATATTTCTCATCGCAACTGTAGGTCGACTAGTAGGTAACATGGTAGATTGGCCGGAACTCCTTTTTCAACTTGATTGAAGCGTGATCCCTCCATTGTTTTAGACAAACAAGAGTTGTATTAATGGATAGGTTGGAATTAGGGCCGATTTAAAAAAATATCTCCCCTTGTTTACGGCGTGGATTCCTTTAAACGAGAAAGTTTGACGTGGTCCGGGGATAGTGATGGATTCTCTGGTATACGCCTTATGTTTTGTGGTCGTAGCAAACGTACAGTACAGACAATTCAGTTTACTAAACCATTGTTCACACACTATTTACTTGGTGCCTCTCCATGTTTCCTCTCTAAAAGAACCTTTTGTAGCGCTGTGACTTCCAACGTGGAAAGCTGTCCGTTTTGTGCACTTCTCAAACTCGAGGTGCGAGTGTATATAGGTTATATACTGTTATGAGCGCCACTCTGTTTTCAACGCGGTTCAGTTTTTCACCCTGCAATAGAACATTGAGTTGAATGAGGCACTCCGGCTTGTACATCAGAATGAAATAGAACCGAAAGTGTTGCCTCATTTAGTTAATATATTGCTTCACTTGATGTGGAGTGTGTTGGCTGTGGTAAGCATATGAAAAATTTGACTACTATCCCATCCCATCGAAGATTCACACGAAGCACTTGCATATTGAAGAAGACAGTTCTAATGCAGGGTCGTTCGTTTCCTGGTGAAACATATCTGATAGTCTATATAAGCATTAATATACCCAATCCCGACGCCCACATTCCAAAAAAAACGAAAGTCCGTACGATTCTTTTGAATGTAGTCATGGTATCTCGGTATTTCTTTGTGCTGCGGCCACTTGCTTGTCTCTATCCACCACATGTTTGGGCGGGCGAACATAGCCAACTGATTGGTGGTTGCTAAATTTTCCCACTGAGTCTTGTGTAAAACTGAAACAGTGAAACTTGAAGACAGGGAATGTCTGGTTTCTAAATTCCATGAATCTGACCGCTGAGTTTGGAAGTGAGATAAATAAAGTATCCAGTTGTGACACCCATTAGTGTAACTCGTGTTTTTACTGTAGGTGCTCTTTAATGTCACCTTCCTTTTGTATGGCAGGTAGATTGAATGTCTTATCTGTGAACATGCTCCATCTCTCAACTCAGTAGTTCGGGATGCTTTTTAACAGCAATGAAATATGCGGCTATACACCTGATATCTGAGTGTCGTTTTTGGATCTCGTTCTAGGGTCTCGCCATCGTTATTTTGGCTCTGGCAGCCTTTCTTGGATATATTTCGTTACGTGAACAACTGCTACAAGGTGGCGCTCCAGCATGGCTTGAACAAACGTTAGCTGGTGAAAACGGTGGTAAGAATTAAATTTTGACTATATTTTCACTTCATTCTTGCCGTTTTGCTGGTCGTGGTTGCCGGAACATTTTTTGGCTCTTCAATCATTAAGTAGGAAGGGTAATTTCGCAAGGCGAGTGAAACTTCCATCTGAGAAGTCGTCACTCGTAGAGCCAATCAATGTGACCACATGATGTGACGCTGTGTCCTGTCTTAGTGAGAACTAGATGTGACCACATGATGTGAAAGATGGATGACGCTGTGTCCTGTCTTAGTGAGAACTAATCACACTGCCCTTCGGCCTCTCGCGGCTGAACGGCCGGAAAGTAGCGCTTTCGAAACTCAGTGGTGGAGGTTCGTGAGATGACTGTTCCCAACGGGACTGAAAAAGCTGAACAATGCTCCTCAACTTCTCAGCATACATTGGCCTCACTGACAGAGCGAAATCCCACTTGAAAATTACCATATCTCATACTGCCAGCAATCTATACCGTTTTGGAAAACCGGTCAGCGTGAGCAGAAGTTGGACATTCGATACCCGAGACATCGTTCTTAACTGGTAGGGACAGTAATACTAAGGTTTGCTAGCTGGTCGTTTAGTGAAAACTTCTCATCCTCGGTCAATTCCCATGAGTTGTACATCTTAAGGCTAATATATATGGCATATCTGTGCAGCAGTTTCTTCGCATAGTTCCCCTTGTGTGCTTTGTGCTGAGTAGGAGCGTGCCAAAACGGTTAACTATTAGAGCATTATCAACCGAATACAGTTTTGTTCACAGCTGGCCGTCTCACCAAGCGGGGGGTTCAGTGTAGGGCAATGAGGGACATCGCCACGGTCGATGTTATTACTGCTTCATATCTATCGCACCCTATGACCTGTGCACGAATCCCTCGTGATGCTCGCAAAGACCGATGCTTTCAGTACTTGAACGGTCGAAATCATATTTATGTAACCATTGTGTAAAGATCGGGCTAACTCGAACCACTTAATACAGGGTTTATATCGTAAGCAGCATTGTACCAGAGTTTTTATCGACATACATGTTCTTCTGTACTTGCTTTGACCATGGGCCTCCGCGTACTTCGCTTTCCGTATTCACTGTTATGAACTGCCAACTGCTACAAACATATTTAGTGTCGTCCAGCTTTGATATCCTTTCCGTACATAAATGGCATGCTTGGTTGAGGGCAATCCTCATATCAGGGCTTGCAGAAAACTATGAACCTTTCCAGCCAAGTGCTATGCGCTACTGGGACACATGGAATCTTATGAATATGCGCGTGACATGTGAAGACAGTTGGAAATGCTACAGCAGGAGAACACGGTATAGTGTGAACATTCAGGACGACGGGCGAGATGGCCCAAGTGGTTAGAGCGCGAAGTTACTGACCAGGAGGACCGTGGTCCGAACCCGACCTCTGCCTCTCGACTTCCCCTGTCTGGGCTTGGGCAACCTGGCAGTATCCCAGCCCTCGTGCAACCTTCGGGTGGCATGACAGCTAGACACCGAAAGAGTGCTACAGCTGAACGATCACCTTCGGGTGCATGACAGTTAGACACCGAAAGAGTGCTACAGCTGAACGATCCAGGATGATATTTATTCACTTCCTGTCGGAAAGTGCGGCCAGCGTAAAGCATGGTAAAATAGGAAAAAATGGCCGGTTTGGTGGCCATTTTGGTGGGTTATACCTAACGTGACGTCGACCAATAACGCTGTGACACTCTCGAGTTCAGTCTCAGGTCTCAAATGAGCATAACTCGATCTGTGAGAACTGACCAGTTGAGCTTCAAGCAACTTGAATGTACGTTGCCTACCACATCTCATATCCTCTAGGAAAAATGAGACAAGTTCAGCTGATTTTACTCCAGTCAATTCTTGTGTGACAGAGGAGGTGACCGTTTGACAAGTTGGAATGAAATTCAAACCGCGTTGTTAGGCTATCGTACACTCTGCCAAGTCTCCCTCCGCTCGGATCTGAAGACTCTGGTCAGAGATACCGTGGATAAAAGTGACTGTGGTAGTACTGTCTTCGCTTGTGTTATCATTCTCTTTTGTACCACATCTTAAATTTCATCTAACATCTTCAAACAAAATATCAACTTTGCTACACGGATAAGGAGGATCAGGAAATTCAGAGCACTTGTGATGTGGAAAAGCTTTTAAAGCGTCTACCCGGAGAGCTTTGGGGATCTAGAACGCGTTTAAATTCTTGAACTTTCTTATTCGGCGTATAGATTTGCTGGGTGCAAACAAAGGATCGTTTGAACGGTAACGGGCAAAAGTTCTGGAAAAGGAAGCAGGTTGTCTGCTTCATGCTGACTTGTGAATTTTTTCCCAAAAACAATGACGTAGAAAGGCTGCATCTCCACCAACGAACCGCGTCACTTTGCTTCTAACGACGCACTGACGGTGCCAACTCGACTGGCGGTAAAACCGCTGCTCAGCGAACAAACCACTGACCAACTATACAACCTGAACTGTCAATATTCTCTTCAAGGACAGACCCGTATTTTACCCCGATGACGCTGTTTACTAGCACACTGGTTTCGGTCATTAAGGCGTGACCGGAAGTGTCTTCGTTTAAACCCACCCTCTGCATCTCGAATGCTCCCATATAGGCTTGGATGCTCCTATCAACCTGACAGTATCTCAGCCCTCATGCTTCCCTCGGGCGGCACAGCCGCTAGGCTTCGGAAGGGTGTTACAGGTAAACTGGTATAACAACTAGTACAATCTTTGGTGCATGATTGTCATGAACTGACCGCTTGTGGGTCGCCTACGCTTGACACTTGGCCGTACATGAACTGACCGATTGTGGGTCGCCTACGCTTGACACATGGCCGGACAAAATTCATCAAGATATACATGACCCGTGAACCAGTACACTTTTCAGTATGGAAAATGTTCGTTCTGCCCGCCCTCGTCCCGACTGTGGTTTTGGTTCTTGGTACTGTTTTCAACCGTCGTAGTTCTGTTGGGTTATTTAGCAGTGACGTTTCACGGAGATACCACCAATGAAAGGTTTGGTTTTCTCCATACGGTGGCTCGAAGCAAACACAACTTATGAATCTACTTGCGTTCGAATTTCGCTGGTTCGTTTTAATGTCATCTAAACATTGTGTGACGTAATTTTGTTTCTTATCTGTTAGATGGCGCTAGAGGTTCACAATATCCACGGTTCTATTGTCTTTCTTTTCAAAGCAGCCGCCGAAGGGAACGAGAGGCGTCAGTTCTTTCCGGACTTACTGAACTTGTTCGGTGCAGCGAACGGTGTAGGTTTCGCGGTTGATGAACTGCCTGATGAGCCAGTGGAGCCAGCCAATGCGCCAGACATCAGTGAGAACCAAACCAACAACACGTCATCAGACGATTCTCCTCGACCGAGTTCATCTACTTCCTTGGCGACAGAGACCTCACAGGATACCAGACCAACAGAAATGTCTAATCCGAACCAAACTGCTCCTGCATTGCCCATGCAGCCCCAGAGTTCGGGTTGGACAGCCACTGGCTTCAGTGAGGATGAGGGTGATGCAGAAGCGGATGAAGATGTTAACGATGAGGCAGAAGGCGATGCGGCTGCAGATGGTGCGGCGGATGAAGCCGCTCTTGGAGAAGCAATGAACTGGGACCGTTTGTTGGGATTGGATGGATCTCTGGCTTTTCTCGAGCACGTACTCTGGTTGATCGCCTTGAACACACTGTTTGTGGTGATTTTCGGTGAGTTGACTTGGTTTGGGTTTTGTGCCTGTGTCTGCGTACGAAGAGAACGGAAACCACTAGGGGCTAGCTAGGATTTCTGGCTAGCTTTGCATTATTTTCCTTAACTTGTTCATCATAGAGGACTGCTTGTCCACTAATGAACTGTTTCATCTAGCTCAATTTTTTTACTACGAATCATGCGCATTACAAGCAATTTGTATAGATTCACATTTCAGCGGAGATAAGCGCCGTGTTAGAGTGACCAGCAGTCTGAGTGAGACATTGAAATCGCTGGGCTGCTTTGTGCGGTCACGTCCTTACTTTGCTTCCCGTCGAATGCGTGTTTGTTTCCCATTTCATTTCCCAATACATGTTCGCGTAGTTTTTACAGGTATTTTTGATACCTTGTGTTTGTACGCCTTGAAGTCCATCTGTTGTGGGTTTCGAGCCTACCGCACATTCATCCATTGGCATTAACCCATTTAACTACCTCCACTTAGCCAGATTTACAAGGAAAAATTCACCGAGCGCATTGTATATTCTATTTTATTCGCTAATATACGGCTTTCAAGACGGGATAGGGTATCATGGGGACGTTTTGCGAAATCGGATGGAGTTATATGATCATGTTTTTTTCTAGTCTTTTCAGGCTGTTCTTATATCAACCGGCCATATCGTGATTTGGTTAACCAAGACCGGTACCTTATCATTTTGCTTTTTTTCAGCTTTTTGCCCTTATCATGTGGGTCAGTTCACTGTGCTCGGATTCAAGCTGGACAATCTGGTATGTCTGTTTTGTACAACTGGGATATTTTTTATTCTTTCATGTTCCATTCTTGTCATTTAGTAGGTTGGCAACGGCCGGTTTTTGTCTCATTGTACTGTGACTGAGCTCGGAAACTTTGTTTCGAACCGATCGCGATGCACACAAAGTGGCTAGTCATGGTAGTTAAGCAGTAATTGTCGGTCAATGAGTTTGCGAATCATGTATATGAAACCCGGTGTCCTCAGTGCGCTAACTAGTAAACTGTATTCGGTGCTAAATCAAGCTATGTAAATACAACGTACTGGAAGCCTGTGTGACGTCTGGATCGCCGGTGAATCCAGTGGAATTCTCGAGAATCCGTTTGTGTCGAGTGATATTCATAAACCGTGCAGAGCTGAAACATACTGGCAATTTTTTATCTGGGACGCATTGACTGCGTTTGAAAATAGAGGAGCTGATCTTCCTAGTCCATGCAGGTCAGCGTTATAATATGCCATTCGTTTTGGGTAAGAGCACTAACAACCAAGGACACATCGGTTGCTCTGAGTCCCCCGAACTAAAACGGCAACACATGTTTGCTTACTGCCTTAGCCTGGAATTCGTTCTCTGCGTAGTTCCAGAGTTTGAGGGACCTTTTGATCAACCAGCTAGTGCAGAGGTGTGATCCTTGTTTTCGAAGAGGGATAGCATGACGTAAGCCACCTTTTTTCGCTGGGTTTGACCGCGGAATCATTCGGTTTCTGATTGTCCTCATCATGGTTACTGGTTAATAAGTTTACTCAGCCTTTATTCCTTAATTTGGTTTGATTGCCACTCCCTATGCGTCATTGGATCGGTACTTTTATCGTATAGACTGACAAGGAGAAAAGAAACTTGTTACCATCCTCCGGGAATATATTCTAGTGTGCCGTGCATGATAGATGTTATCAGCAGGTAGCTCTTGATATGTGCCCGCTCTTTTTACGCAGTACGCCTATGTTCATTGATACGATTGCACGGTTTAATCACATCACATACCGCTGGAGCATCATTAATTCCGCCCATCTAGTGGACGCAAAGCAATAGTTTCACATGGCATTTACCGTCTGTCTGGCGAAAAAACGGTTAATGCTTCCAAATCACAGGCGTCCGACACTCAAAAGATAGTTGTTACGTTGGGAGTTCCAGTGGACGTTTTTATAGAAAACAGAAAACTTGGGTACTCTGTGGAGCGAATGGCGTTTTAGCGGAAGCGCAGTGTATTTAGCGTTGTTCAGTTTTTTTTATAAAGCAACTCCAGTTCTTCGACGTATCTTGCATCGAACCAGTACCCCCATTGTAAGGGGTTGCATTTTGTCCAACGCTGTTGTTCAGTTTGGAATATGTTAGGTGTGCTGGAAAACGAAGCAACTGTTTTTCGTATAGATCGCCGGTATTTTTCCGATTATGCACATCGTAAAATCGTTTCGAATGTGTGGTCCTTTCGGCCTATCGCAAATGTTATGTAAAGTTTTTTGTCGTTGGATGGTTGTAAGTATGTGCGCTACTCCGCGCTTACTCAGCGGCTCTATGTAGCCCTGGTTTTTCCCAAAAGTCGATCCTTTTTTGGTTCCTGTTTTACAGGTGTTTTCAGCGTTCCCGTAACTTCAATTTTTGTTTTTTAGATTGCTGCAACTCACATGGAGGGCCTGAGTACCAGTCTTGTGGGCTACTTGATCATCGCTGGCTTCCTCATTTCGCTCCACTGTGTGCTCAAACTGTTCGGTTTACAAAGGTGGGTTCTGTTTCCCCCACTTGTTTAAATACTTTGAGTGAATGAGAGAGATCTTTGACTCATTAAATGCAAATAGATAATTTGGTCTTTTCTTGTTTTACCAACAGTTTTTGTTGCAGAAAATGTTTTTCGAGTGGGAGAGACTTATTGCACACAAGGTGTGAACAAGTTTCAAACAACTCCAGATCCTATACTTTGGATGACTGACTCGAGGGTCATATAGGACTTAAAGCAATAATACTATAGGTTGGATCCATATGCTGGTGTTTACAACCGTTCGAATCCGACCTCTGCCTCTCGACTTTCCCTGTCTAGGCTTGGACGACCTGGCAGTATCCCAGCCCTCGTGCTTTCTTAAGATAGCATGGCAGCTAGGCACCGAATGGGTGCTACAGCTGAACGATATACAGCTGTCACCGAGTCATACATATTGTGTTTGCTTTCAACTGAACACTTTTGTCGAACGTTATACGGTGCTCGGGAACTTTATACACGATTTTTCTGAACTTCAAGCTACTTTTTCAGGTGATATCTATCATAGCCCCAATTCGTGCACGACGTTTTCGTAGTATCCTCTTTTTTTCTCACAAGCCAGTCAATAATATTGAAGTCCGCTCACTGAATGTTGTATCTGTATCCACGAAAGTTCCTGCGAACGGACGTCTGGGCATACAGCCTTTAAAAGCTAGTTTGTTTTATCACTATATCAGATTTAGATACCCAAGTAACGTACTAACTTTCGATTCACATATCAGTTTACCACTTCAACTGAGCTTCCGTTTGCCTACTTTACGAGACCACTTGATTGAGTCTCTCCGCCTAAGAGCTCGTGCTGACAATAATTGATTGTCAGGAACTACGCCTGACTGATTTTTTCAATACGCTGTTGATGGTGTCGCAGTCAACAACGCACCTGCACACAATCCGATTACTAGCCTATCATATGTTGCGCGTCAGTTTTATTCCCACAATTATATTTCCCTTCGCATTTCTTCCCCGAATCAATGTCTACATTTGCCTATCCTCTGTTCAGTTTGTTTGTTTTTGTCCCCTCCAACAGCTTGCCATAAATCTTACCCGGCTGCTTTGACGACACTTAAGTTTTAGAGGGTGGCTGAATGCATTTCTTCATGTTTTACACGTTTGCTGAAATTTAGTATAGGTTACCTATGTACTTCTCCGTCACGCTGCATGTTTTTGTTTTAAGATGTCTTGGTAAGACTCAAATATTACTCAACTTGAGGTTGAGGTGTCTTCAAGAGAACTCAGTCTATACACACACACAATTACCTCTCAATACGCCTTGCTTATGCTTGATGGTTTTGCGATGTTCTTATAAGGGTTAGATACATGGAGGGTAAATAGTGACAAAAATCACGTTGATCGATTCAAATAAAGTGGACACGCAGATAAACCGTTGTGCCGGCTTTTTGGAGGAACGCAGGCACATCAGAGAGGAAGTGAAATTTTTTACTGTGACACCGAGGTCCTTATACCGGCTAACAATGATGATGAAGCACGTACCATAAAGCTGAACCCTAGTTTTGGACTGTTTGTTTTCGGGTAGAAGAACATACCGTTGTTCTGAAGCCAGTAAAAACTGACGTCGGTCCCTTTCCGGAGAGTTGTCTGGTCTCTGGACCACACTTTGAGGCCATCCGCGATTAGAAATACTAAAGAGCCTGTAGGGAGGATAAATGGGTTTGCTCACAAATGCGATGAAGAGGGTGGAGCCACTGACCAACTCTTACAGGAATACATCACTGATCTGGGATTCGAAAGAGGGACATCCTTTCCATCCTATCAGAAGGCACCTAATGGTACAAAAACTCTGTTGGAGATAATGAGGCGGTCTCACAAGATTTTGCGGTATCGCGTCACAGCCCTGGAACAGCTCACCGCTATCAAACTACACATCTGAGTCCTTGTCGCACCTGGCGAAGAAACGTCTTTGACAAAATTACTAATTTAGATAATAATTCAATCCATCAACTACATCAGCCAGCAACCTTCCATCTCAGAAGACGAACGGGTTGAGATTTTCGAAATCCGACTACATCTTGATCAAAAGTGTTTATGTCCTTGAAAATTCGTTTGTATGATGTATTTTGCCATATCCTGGAGTTCAACCCATCTGTCTAACTTTTTCAGACCCAGCTATTGGTTCGGACTGGGCTATGTCTACCTGAAGGTTGCCTTGATATCCCTATTCGAAGTCGGCATATTTCCAATCCTATGTGGCTTCTGGATCGATGCGTGCACTCTGGTAAGAAGTTGGCGTTTTTCCTTTTTAGACTGTTTTTACAAGCTTTACATGCGTCTTTAGCTAGTCTAGTTTCTGACCTCAAAGGACTATCGACTTTCGTCACGAATTTCCCATTCACTCAGCATGACGGTTCTACTTCATGAAAGAACTTTATTTAACGAGCTGCCATTGTTTTTGTTACACTGTTATCCAAGCTGTTTTGGTTGCACGGCATGCTGCGGTAAATTCCGACTGTCCAATTTTTAAGGCTCCTAATGAATCAGTTTGTAGTGGTTATACCAGATTTTAACTTGGCCTTCCTAATAAAGAACAATTTTTTAGACTTTTATGTGGTGACGTTGTCGAAACAATAACACAGAATGCATGTTGTGGGTAAGTGCATTTTATGTCGTTGCTACGCAGGTTGTTTCTCGTCCATTGCTCGAGGAAAAGAGTATCTGAATAACTCCGGGGACAGAACTAGTCCACTACAATGTGAGAGATATGTTTGTATCACTCTGGAGTGATCGTCCAGAGGGACTAACCAGAAGCAATCGCTTCTGTGGAGTGATCTTTTTCAAGAGGACTCTGGGAAATGCCTAGACAAACCGGCTGAACTTAGTCTGTCGTGAGGCGGGCTTTCTAGAGAAGGACAGTTATATTTTCCAGAACTCCCCCGTTAGTGTGGTTTTCGTGAAATATTTAGGGGCTGTTTGATGTACGAAACAGATGATGGGTGCATGCCGTCCTCATCGGCAGAATAACAGCATGTTCGGTTCCTCTAAAGCGGAAAGAAACAACTTTCGGAACTCAATGACAACATGCCTTGCGGAGCGCAACCCAAATGGACGGAGGAACTAGTAGTAGTAGGGGAATAAGGATCGATAGTATCAGGAAGGTCAAATTTCTGAAAGTAGCCACTGAATGCCCGAAATCCACTGAGACCCTCAGCTCCGCTGGACGCTGACCAGACAGACAACGCCCCCACAATATGGAGAGCGTCACAGCCTTGTATCATACCCGGACAGCGCAAGTCAGCTTTGATCAAGGTCAGACAACGCCTCCGCAATATGCATTGCGTCACAGCCTTGTACCAAAGCCAGACCGCGTGCGTCAGCATTGGACCAAGTTCAGACGGTATCCCTCCAATAAGTGGCTTTAGACCGTTCTATTTTCGCACTCGCACGCACTCATGCTCTCGCACTCGCTTGTTCGGGATGATAATGAAAACTCATGACCCACTGCATCCGTTTTTATAAAATAAACATGTCAATGAGTGTTATGTTTTTTGAGAAGTTGAAAATCAGTAACATGGAGTTTTTAACGAATTGCTGTTGTTTGAATATCGATACAAGAGCAATAAGTATGAGACGTGTCGAGAAAGTGTGAAAAAATGGCGGAGACCGACGAATAAATCTTGGCGCAAACCACACTTTGGAAACAGAAACGTTCGGGTGTAGTTAGGGATTCGATGCTGCTTGGAGTCACAGTTACGGATGATAAGACCCCCGTGAAATACAAGGTGAATGGTGTTACACTCCCGTGTTGGCGTAATAAATGAGACGCAACAGCCTATCCTTAGGTTTCGCAACCCCTAGTGGTCGTACCGGTCAGGCGTGGATTCTGGTTGATTACAACTTGGCTGACGTCCTTTTTATCCACGGAACTTCGTTTGAGAGCACACTGTAATGAAATTAACTCCACAGCGATTCAGCAAACTATCATTGCTGCTTCACGCGTAATTTGCCAGCTAACGGAAACTAACGCTTGCCAACCTGTGTCAGAAGCAACCACACAACTAATTTGTTAAACGATTAAATCGAATCCGAAAAGCAGCCCCATTATACGTGCATCACGTGTTAACTTTAGGTCACCATTCCACGACTCAGTGTGAGTCGATACCGACTGATTACCTAGCACCCGTGTTTTCCTGAATTACGTGGAAATAAATATTGACGAAGGGATGCCTGGATAGTGAATTTTTCAACCGAGATGCTGAAAAATCCTCAATGGGTGTTCGGTATCTGTCATCAATCAATTAAGCAAAAACGAAGTCGAGGTCTACTCTGCTTAATTTAAACAGAGCTAGGTGATCATTTCTATTTACCATTCGAGAGTGCATCTTTTAGTCTAATGGATGCAACTACAGGTGTGAAGTTGTTTGTCACATGCCGGCTACGCATGCAGTCCTCTTCAGTTATCAACCGTAACTTTCGGTACTCCACAAAGTAAAATGATTTCAAGTAGATCATAAGGTTGACGGAAACTCGGGGACTGCGCCTACCTGATGAGCCCGAACTGGAAGGGCGAAACCGGTCGTGGGCTGTCGATGGATTTTCAGCAACCTTGTGAGTAGTTTCCTTTATGAAAATGATTTGAACAAACTTTAACATCTATACTCTGAGATTTCCTTCCATTTGTGAGAACACTAGAAGCAATATCTGTTCCTACTATGCCGGTGATCAATAAATCAAAGGAGCCAGTGACATGTTTAATGGCTCTTAGGTTGTTTTTCCTCATTTGATCCACGACTGTCTACGTAGACCTATAGTAAACCAGAAAAGGAAGGTGCTGCTGTGCGAGAAGGACTTAGTAAATTGATTTGTACGTACCGACCTCTATGATGACATTGGGACGAGTCTACCATACATGTTTCGCTGCTAGTTATGGTTTTTCAGACATTCAAAACCTCTTAGCTAGCAAATAAGCAAGTGATCTCGAACGGCACGATTTGTTAAGGGCTTATGTTACTCGTTCTTATTGTGATGTCAGTTGCACAGCTTATTACGTTTGATACATTCAGTATAATATGTATAGAGCAGCATATTGCTATCCCTCTCTCCTTGGTATTCTCTCCCTGGCTTTCGGATGTGGCGTGGATTCTTAAACAATCCTCTCTCACTTTGGTTCACGCAATTTTGAGTGGTTATATGTCGGAATTCGGGGGGTAAACAACTGCCTTGCTAAATGTAACACCCAACGATTAAGTATAACAACGGTACTGCCTCATCTCCTTTCCCAGTCTGATCCTCGCAAGCTAGCGTTTTCAGCAAAAGAACCACCACTGGTGTATAAAGTGCATTAATCGCTCAAAACCGGGTCAAAACCACATACAGTTTTTAAATTGTATACGGCGACATCATTCTGCAAATTCGGAAAACTGGATGCGTTACTAGTAGCTCAGTTTGTGAAGTTTGGTAATTTTGTTGCAAACAATTCACTATCCATCAATCCCTAATTTGTGTATAATGAATGTCTCCACGGAGCGTTTATGATGGTTTTGTGTGTCACCTCGTCATTCTGTCAATCAATGCGCCGTTCTGCATTCACTGGTTTCACGTGACCGTCTTGCCGATGTGTACTTACCTGCTGGTTCCACAACGGACTTTGAACAGCAAAAATCCAACGGGGATATGTGCTGTCTCGCAAACGATGGTCCTTGTATCTTCGGTTTGGGACCTTCTGTCAAGCAAGAGGGAATATTTCTTTTGATCCACAGTAAACCATTCTAAATAGATATTTACTTGTTCTTTCACCTTGTTAGCTTTTTCAAACTACCCTTAGCGCACGAGTATTACCCAACCGAGTCAAGTCTATAGCAAGCTTTCATGAGCGTACATCGAACATACCATCCCATACCTACACGGAAGACATTTTACATACGTGTTGGTTGGAAACGGAGGGATACGGAGCGCAGTGAGAATTAGGAGAACTTTTCACTCAGGTAGAATACCATGCAAGAATTGGTCGGAACGCGTGTTATGAATAGGATAGCTACTGCATCTTAGGTCATCGGCAGTCTTAGTCTTAACTTAAATGATTTTAAAAGTTGACAGACGGTAGGAAACACATATGTCGTAGGTGGGCACAAGGAGAAGCCAGCTAGAGCGTCAGTGGTGCGACTGATTCGTGTTATCTCGAGGCGTTGTTTCCGGTTCCCTTCCTCTTGAAGATAGGAGGAACTGTTTGAAGACCATAGATTCTCAAGGGTACCTTAGGGTGTTTGTGAAAATTCATACTCTTGAACGTGTTCATAAGAGTGGTGAATGAGCCTTCTTGGATGGCGAACCACACGACCTAGTGATCCTGAATTTGTAATATTCACTCTCTTTCTGTCTCTCTCTTAGAGACCAAAATATCAGCTTATGTGAATGGTGCCTACTATGGACCAATTGTATCACGCATTCTCTGTAACCAGTGTGACATCAAAGCACCATATTCTCTTTACTAACGAGCGAAATAGGTGCGATCATTTGACGTCTGTGTGCAACATCTGTAGCTTCAAACGTGCTAAGTTTTGTGAACTCGTTCCGCCGACATATGTCCTGTCAACCTGACAGTTCTGAGTAGTTAGCAACTGACAGACAGTGTTTTGGTGTTTGGTACTCACCGCTAACGTTAACTTATGTCTGAAATTAGCCATTTTGCCATGGACGAGCTAGCACAAACCTATAGGTTCAGCTCGCAGACTACTCTGTGAAACCAAAGAACATAACCAGGATTTTCGGGCCTATGCATTGTGGGGCTGCCGAATTCGGCAGATTTCCTCGCCCTCTTCCGCATAACATGGACTGCACAGGTTGTCCACTTTCTGAGCTGAAGTGGGTGCGAAACATGCAGCGGGTTGTTTTTCTGAGATTGAGCTGTCGTCCTGTCCTGTTCATATGAGACTAAAATTATCAGTAAATATCTTCTCAAGTGAGCATTATGTGGACGAAAATCACGGTGGCATCGAGCACAACGGACTACATCAGGTCGCCAGCTTCACTAACTCTACCATTTAGCTGAGTTCGAAATTCGTCTGCCAGCCAGAGTACTGTTTAGGCTTTGATTTTACCAGATTCCAGAGAAATCGTTTATTAGCAAACACCAACTAAGCAGTAACAATCTATTTTACAGGAAACTAAACGTCTCATATGCACGTCGATTTTAAAAACTGAATATTCTCACGCATCTCTTTGAATTTTCATGGATATTCATTGACTATTACACAATTGTAAGCTGAACACTGCAAGGCAGTTCCACGAGTTCCGTAATAAACTTCATCTTCCATGAGATACGGGGCGGGGCTTCGAAGCGACCGCATACTGCTCGCGTGCCTCCTCAGTAGTATACGCCGTCACACTAGTGGCATGACAGTAACACAACGTTTTGTGGTGAATAGTGCTGCAATTACTGTCGTTCATGCTGTGTGACTGTTCGCACTAATCTCTTCCGGCGAATTCTAATCGAGTATCAAACAAATCAAGCTAAATCGATGGAGCTCATAACTAATCGGAGAATCAAGCAACCAACTGTTGGTTCAGTGCCGCGAGTCCAATCAGCAGGATCGAATTCCCGGCATTGGAGAACAACTTTTCACGGTCCGATATTAGACGACATGGTCTTATACTTGTATAGTCCCCGTGTGAAAGCATAAGTGCATCGGTATTTCAGTTTCCATTTGCCATTAGAAAATAAGATTCCCGCCGGATCAAGCGGATATCATTGCATCTTTGTTGTGTGATTGTTATATTTTTGTGCAATCAACCATGTGCCGTGTCATTTCAAAGTTGGCACCTGACTAAAACAACACATGATAGCCTATTGCACATCCACGGATGGTATGTATCTCTACGCGAGTGATCTGAATTGTTGTTTGATAATCACTCGGCGAATCCTGTGCGGTCATCAACTCTATCCGAATTTTGTTGTGTTATGGATGTCGGTGAATCACCTTCAAGGAACCATGATTGAACTTGAACTTACACCATCCATAATAGTGGTCTTCTTAGTTCTAGCCAGTTTTTTTCAGCAATGCGCTATCATCAGGTCCCGTTTCGTTTGTCTCTGATCCAGTCTCTCTTCAATGCCAGTCTGGCGAATCGTGTCAGTGTGTTCCACTATGCTCCGGTGGCCTTCACCTTCATTCATTGGGCTGTTGGTATGCTGTACGTATTCTACATGGCCTCGTTACTCCTGCTTACCCGGAGTGTTGTGAGACCCGGTGTTTTGCGGTTCGTGCGTCTGTTCAACGATGCCGACTACAAACCGATTCATGACGTGAGTTTTGCAGTTTTACAACACTTACGCTTTCTTTTACCATAAATTGGCCTCAATAGTCGGACCCTTTTAGTTTATTGAGAATTCTTTGTCAGTCCCAGTTTTAGCTACAGGGATTCCAACGTTAGTCTGTTACTGAATTTCAGCAAAACTTAGCGCGTCACGTGACGCTGTTTTCACTGCGGGGCTCAAGCTCATACGCACATCTCGCAAACCAGATCGATCATCAATACTTGCTCCGACTTCCTTGACACTTCCCTGATTATCACCTCGACCTAAGTTTCCGGTTGTATTATGAATAGACTAAGGATGAAAAATGTTCGTTTCCCTTTGGTTGTAAATGAGTTTCCATACCTAACATATTCTCATCTAGTATTCCAGTATCGCTCTTTTACGCGGAAAACCCCCAGGGTGCATCTCCGGTTTGCACTTTCTACCTTCTTTCATCAGCTAGCACTTTCCTCGAATTCTTGCTATTTATATCAGATGTAAGGTTTGAAGTTTTAATAGTAAACGCACAAACCACGTTCGAATAGCGAATTGCGCCGGGCCACCAAAGTTTTCTGAAGACAAATACTCGTATGGATGTTTTTTTATATCTGACCACCAGCGCAGTTCCTTGAAAACCGTCTAGGCGCGTCAGTTGGATTGCGGCAATATTCATAGGAGTGGGTTGCGCCGATTGAGAGCATGAAGATCGTCGCCGACAGCGCAACACCGTATCTGAGTTGGCTGCGTAACTTGACAAACACATTCGCCGGATTGCCAACACGCCTGAGCTTTGGTAAATGACATGATATCAGTGGAGATCGCTAATCGTAGCTTTGCGCTGACCAATTGTCCCTCAGTAGTCCTGCGTTTCCAGGTGGTAGTTGCTGTTGCACTACCTGCCAATGGACTATTTTAGAGCCAGACTGACCACACAGCCTTTGGAACCTGGTGGTGAGGTATTCAGGTCCACTAACGTCGATTGGGATCATACTCTCGTCCGGTGAAAAACTCCTACAATTTCATCCGGGGAAACCGAAGACTTAAGCTCCTCGCTTAGTCACTGAAAAACCTTCTCACCAAACTAGTCTGTGTGAAGACATGACTCACAAATGGGACAGGATAGGTACAGCCATCCACGTGGTAGGAAACCTTGCATTTGCTTTTTCTGGAAGCCGACCAAATAAGCTCCTCGAGGTGAAACATAGTATCCCTTCAACTACTGAGAATAATTCAGCTAGACGGACTGTTAGACGTCAGCTCAAGCACAGCCTTCGTTCGGGTGAAGAAAACTTGTGACTTACTCCGGTTGTGACACGGTTACCAGCCTAAGTAACACGATATTAGGCCTAATCACGTTTGATGCTAGTCCAAGGGGACCAGGTAGGAGGGTCATTGACCACATCTTCACATGACGCCAAATGTCTGAGCAGCGCCACACACCTCCGATCAGTTGGGGCTGTTTTTTCCTGAATTCAATGGATCCTCCAGCTCCATCGATAATTTGACGTATCTAGACCTACTTGCCCAACGAGGAATGCCCTCGAATGCCCTCTGGACATTCTCCGTGATGTGTATTTTCAAACTTCTGGCCGTGCTGAGGTTTACAATGAGCTGTGAAGGATCCACCAGCCGAATGGGGCATGCCCTCTACAGTCTCCTCATCGACACCGTGTCCTCGAATATGGGTATCAAAACCGTGTATGAAAAGTCGGTAGACTTAAATTATGAGGGTGACATTGTTCTGCGTTTATCCAGAACAACTTCGAGCGCCTCTTTGGATTATAAGTGGCGTGTTCAGTGGCTGCAAAGCGCATGCCAAAGAACTTGGATCAGTTCATCCAAAAGCACCTGTGCTTTGTCACCTTTCTAAGAGGGGGCGATGTCCTCTGCTTATTACAGATTGATGGGTTTTGCGAGCAGCTATTTGAACATCGGGTTTTCGAAGACCTTTCAACGTTAGTCTCATTATTTCATCGATCACGAAATTGACTGGGGATGGAGAGTAACATCCGTGTCGGAGAGCACTTTATGTACAGAAGCTTTTGGAGAGTTCCCCCGTGTACCCACAGACACCCGGAATCCTGATAATACAAACGACACATTATATTCACAAATTTACAGGAGACTCTTAGCTGAGCAGGCGGGCTAAGATGAACACACTGGTCAAATGAATCAAATGTGCCGTGCATACTGAATCGCCGTGTTAGCAGTCCTGTTCTGTGGTTGTACAACTTTGCTCCTCTGATCTGAACACTTCAAACGTCTTTAGATAACTGGCCACCGTTTTCATTCTTGTATAGTAGACGCCAAGTGTGTACTTAATGACATTGTCTGGGTTGGCTCGAGCAGCAGATAAGGCTTATCAGGCTAAAGTGGTCGGATTATACACTACGTGTGCCCGATCACCGACAAAAGATAATATTGTTTTCCACTCAAAAATCGCTGTCGACAGATAGTTCGCGGAGGACAGGCTATGAAGTTGCAATTGGAAATTGAAACGGCAACATTCAGGTTGGGCGCTGTGGGATTTTTGCGCCCGGGTAGATTCCACGTGATTCTCCTTGCACTTCAGGACACAGAACGTAGCCGATCCCTTTGCTGAGGTTGCTGTCGTTTTTTAGTCCGACCACCTGACTAACACTTACCGGCTGTTGTGTGGTGAGCTTTTGTTGGGCGAATTGAGGTGAGTGTGTCGACGGTGGCCTGCTTCAGCTTAATGCTCAGACCTTCCTTCAGGACATTTTCTCTGGAGACAGGTCGTTTTTCCTGTAAGCCCCCAACCCTCCCCTCCTTTTTCATCATTTACTACGATCTCTGTCCATGATTGCATGGCCCCACTATCCACCACTGTTGTAATGATGATGGTGAGTGTAATTTTTTGGCCCACAACGGTTGTTCTCAAATTTGGTTGAACTTCGAAATCTTTTTTGTCGATAGCTATAATTTACAATTTTCTTTTATTTCAGATGATCATGCAACCTCTACATATCTATACCCAACGCCTGATTGCAACATTCGTAAGTTTCCCTCATCCGTTTACCAGTCTACCGGTTCGAAAACTCACCTACCTAGTTATCTGCTCAACTTTTTCTCGCTGTCTACTTTTCTTGTTCAGTCCATCTGGGGGATTCTTATCGTGTTCATGCTTTGGGTGCCCATTGAAGCTGTTCGACGTGTGCTTCCAGGATTTTTACCGTTTCAACTCGCAGTGGCGCAGTGAGTTTCAGACATCTCTATCATGTGTTCGGTTTTCCCGCTATTCTTTATACGCTCGGTTTTTTACCGGTTCTGATTCTCTTCTTGTGACCCACAACTCAATGTGAGTTTGTAAACTATTCGAAGTTTGTTCATAATCAAAACTTGATCAACGCGCTTCCACTCTCAGAAACCTTACTTTAAGCACTGATGAGTGTCTGAGAAATTGACCTTGTCTCAGTTCATTGGAAAACGTCCCCGACAAACACCCCGGGTAGCCCGTACGACTGAGTTGTCTTACTTTTTAGGTGTATGTGCCTCTATTAAACCAAAGGGTTTAGTAAGGACGAATTTTGTCGGTTTGACGAGAACGACAGGAGGTTGAAACTTCCGCCGCTCATATCTTGTTATCTTACTGATCCAGTCACCTTTAACTGATGAGGTTTAGAGGTTTTCGGCTTGTCTCTGCGGTTTCGTTTTGCAGGCTGAATCGGCATGGCATAGTTGCGTGAAACTTCCGGTGGAACTTGAGCACTCTCGAAGAAATATCGACTTTCACCAAATGTTGCTGAAGTAGCATATACTGCGCCACCCAACACCCACAGTATATGTGCGTGCTATATTACGTCATCGGAGCCGTTGCACAGGAACGATGATGGGGTCTCTTACGTGTGGCTAAGTGAACCAAAGCCTGCAACGATTAATAACGGTTAAATTGATTAGTCATCTTAGGTTGCGAATGCTTCGGTTGCTCATATTAGTCCTAAAACAGTTATTCAACGACCGTTAGTTATCAGTTTCCACGATTTAGCCTTACGTTTGGTTAGCAATGTTGTGGAATGTAGGTTTGAGGTTTGGTTCTTTAGATCGTAAATGGCTCATCAACTTACATCACTAAAAGCTACTTCTCTCTAAATTTGCGTGTGTCAACACTTGAGAAATCCAGTCCTATGATCCTCTTCTAAAATTTCCTTTTGTTTTCATCACATATGTCGGAACATGAGGAATGGTGATGGGTTGCACCAGTACGCTTCACCCTTGGGTCAACACTCGACTGGCCCTCATGCTTACGGGTCGTTTTATATTGCACCTGACTTGCGTTACATCAGCAAACAAAGACCGGCCCCCAGTTCAGCTACTCATTCCACGATAGCTTACCTCTAGGCTTGCATATATTCAGATTTGTCTTCATTCAACGCATCATTTTGCTCAAAGTTGTCGTTCCGATTTTGCATTATGTTCTCGTGTATTTGTGACTTTCAGTGAAAACCCACTGGACTATTCGGTGGAGATCATACTTGTGCAAGTAGTTCTTCCATTTCTACTGGATGTACAAGCCAAAGCTGCCGTACGGCAATTCCTACGCCTTTGGTGTATTTGCGTGGGCATCATACTGGGCATGCGTAGCTATCTGGTTGGAGATGTTCCTTTTAAGCCCGGAGTAAGTTGAATGTCTGCCTGCATGGACCTTCCTCGACCCCCGCAAAGCTTTGAGACTACCACTGACACAATCAAATATTCGCCTTATCACGTTTTAAAATCGTATGATACTCATGAATTTCTCTTTTCTTCTTATCTAAACCATCTGAACTCAGGAGAAGAAAATAGCAATAATCCTGACAGCTTTATCATAGTTAATTCTTTGTTCTGATTAGCACAGAAACTCTTACCAATAATCCTTTGACAGGTTAACTTAGGATAGAGGTATGTTTTGACCTCACTACAACTGGAAACCTTGTTGATTTCTTATTGTATTGACCGACGTTACTTTCCTTTAGGTCAGCAGACCACCAGGCAACCGCGATTATCGAGTGCGGAATCTTATCGTAACGTGTGCTTTTCAAGGCTACCATCTTAGGTACCCATGCACCTGACTATGTGCTCGTTCACCTGTTTTCAGATAGCTCAGCACATTTACGATATTATGTTTTAAATAAGCACAAGAACTAGGAACGCATACAGATTCCGCTACCGCCTATGTGTATTGCGGAATGCAAATGAGTTTTTCACTTCGGCTGCCTACAGCTACTCACTACTTTTCGCACTTAGATGTTGTGTGGCTTAACCATTAAAGATTTTATGGTTGAAATTCATGCGCTCCAACGAATAGAGCTGGATCAGCCGAAGGGATCAACTCTCTGTGCAATTCCAAACAATCGGACATTCGGCACTTATGTTTTTCCAACGGTCGCCCGTCAACAGAGATCTGTCTCTTTAGCATTTTGCCCCTATCTATTTGTATGGAACAGGAGTTAGTCATACGAGCAAAGAATTGAGATCAGTTAGTTCAAGGGCTGTTTGCACCATGAAGGCTCTATTTAACGTCACTTGTTCAGGTTGGGAGTACGTTGGGCCGAGCCCGGTTGTGTATCCAATTGACGAACGTCACTTTTCTATATTTGATCACCGCATACACATTGCAATTATGATATATATATATATATGGAAATCCTACAATTCGCCTTTCTCCTCTACAGGACTGGATCGTCACATTCAAATAGCAAAAAGATATATATATATTCTGGGAAATCCTACAATTCGCCTTTCTCCTCTACAGGACTGGATCGTCAATGAAGATGGTTCCGAAACTCCTTTTAGTTCTTCGGGTTCTCCATCCGGAAGCGGACAATCAGCAAGTTCCCAGTCCAATGCCCATCAGAGTTCCTCCCCTCTTGCAACTCGAGGTACCCCGGTCCCCGCTGCTGAAGACCCGATGCATGGTCAGCCTGAACCTGAGCCAGAGCCAGCTGGTCCACAGGCCCCGGACGATCGGGATGACATGGGTGATGCCTTCCCTCGTTACGTGCCGTACAAGCGACCTAGACTGTTTCGTCTACGCCTTGTGGCTCTCTGCTTCTTTGTGATATTCAGTCTGATGTTACTGAGCTCAGCCTTGCTTATTGTCCCGGTTGCAATAGGCCGTCTCACATTCGCCTTGTTCAATACTCGCACCAATCCACGGCATGATGCTGTTGCTCTGGTTACCGGGGTCACCGTCCTTGGACTTTTGTTTCGGTTGTCACTTTGGTGAGTTAAACGTGTACATGCGTGTAGTCGCTGCGTATGTAACTTAATTGGTGTAGTATTTACTCTCAAACTGAAGAAATTAACCTTGTGTTCGCATTGATACTGCCTACATGTTTTGTTGTTTACACTTTCCACTTTGGAACAACACCTTGGTTGCTGCTAAATGGACGTTTTCTGCTTCAGGAGAAGGTCTTTCCGTATAAGCTGGCTAACTTAGATACATCGTTTTATTCGCCTCTACCGAACACTTGACCCCATATTGCTCTTCCGTTTCTTTTTATAGCCTCCCGGTATTCCTGACTGCATTGCGTCGTTCGTTCTGTATCCTGGCCGCCCGACTGAGCCGACTGTTCTGCTGGTCCAGGCCGCTGAGAGTTTTGAGAATCTGGACTCGTTCTGGGACAACTTGTGAGATTGCAATACCTCGCCCTGCATTACCGCCACCCATGAGCAGTCTACGTAACACAAATAATCGAGGAGAGGAAGGGGAGGAGCCGGTAGCCCTCAAACTGATACACTCTTTGATACTTTTGTTTGGTTTGGTGCAAATGGTCGGCATTGCCGTCCTCTTCTTGGTCATCTTGCCCGTGTGTCTCGGTTTGCTAATCAATCTGACGTTTATCGCTCCTTTCCAAGTCGGACCACGAAAAACGCTGTACATTGGATTTTGGGAAGTGAGTGGACCATTTGTGATTACATGATAACACTCACCTAACACCTTGTACAAACATGCCTTGATCTTTTCACTGCGAAAAGGCCCGCGACCAGCCGCATAACCTACTTCCCTCCAAAAATATCCACAGATTATCAACCAGTAGGGGTTGTTCCGATAACAGTTCGAATGGACATTTGGTCCTGCGCAGCCCTATTATCTTCTACTCTACTTCTCCATGCGATGCGTACCGTCTCAACCCGGGTTTTTCGTCTTTTTGTCTAAATGTACTTTTCACCTGAGGTCATACCATTGCAAAGCATCTACCCAAATAGGCGTTGCTTCTCTGTCAAATCCCGTGGAATCAAATGGAAAGATGGAATTGAACTGCAAATATGGAAATCGCGGCCATATGATCTACGGAACTTGGGCATTAAATTTCGTTCCCTACCTGACCACTTGATCCCTTGATCACTACCTCTCCTACCACATTTCATTTACGTGGTTTTCAGCTTCCACTTTGTTTTCCACGACCAATCGTTTAGGGCATTCTGCGTGACCGTCTACACGCGGTTCATGCCACTTCCCAGTATCGCTTTTGCTGCCTCCAGTATGTTAGCAGCCCACCTTATCAGTTTCAACTTGTCGCAGATTTCGTATTGATTGGTGCGTTTGTGAAACCGCGGATATGCTGCGTCGAATCCCTCAATAACGAATGTTAAGAAAAACGGATGACGAGCATATCTGGTAGCCGCACATGCTAAGTGTACATTGCCATGCTTGGCGTTCCTTCAATGTCAAACTGCACTTTGTATGGGATGCGCACAATCTTCAAGCTAGAGTATGCCTGAAGCGGCGCCAAATGCAGCTATACAACGGTTCAGCAAACCATCCAGCCGAACCTTCCTAGAGTAGGATGGTGCCAGATTTCAGGTGCCGTTTGCTCAGTCAATGGCTTCGGGTGTCTAAAAACCAAACACACGGACCATGATCTGCATGAAAATTTTGCCGGTTTCGCAGGCTCAGGATAGATTATTTCAGTTTGTCATCTTCAGGGAGGTTGCGGGTGCTGGTGTAGACCTCACAGGCTGCGATAACTTTGACTACTTATTAGTAGTTAAGATCAAGTCTTTATGTTTCTGCTATGGCCCCGAGATCCACAAACGAGCACCTTCGTATCGCTGTTAGGTGTTGTTTTGCTGAGGAACACACCAGTTCACCTCACTTTCACTTATATAGCAGAATGACCATTTTTAGATTCTATAAACTACGTTTCCATTTATGTTTCCGTGGTGCTATGGGCCGGTAGTTTCAAGTTCATGTAAATCCATCTTTTTGTTAACGCGCATGAGACTGAAATCATTACCTTCCCAGTTGTCGAATAACTACGTAATCTAGCTAAGATGTTTCGTTGAGATTTTTATCTTGTCCTTTGATTGCCGATGTGACTTAGCAACTACTAACGTGGTTCAGCCCCACACTGAACTTGTCGGTACCTTTGATCACGTCGCACTCGTTAATGATCAGGCGTGGTTGGTTTCAAATGTCACTTGGAGTCTAGAAAGTCGAAGACACAGTTTACAGACACCTGACGTCGTTGAAAAACGTATATTATTGATTCAACACTACTCATCACGGGATTCTATTTCTTGCACTTGTATGCTCACAAATTCTGTTTTAGCACTGGATTTTCGGAATCATGCATCTGAAGGTGGGAATTCTGCTAACACTGGTTGGTCCAACGTGGTGGTTGCGTCGACGTTTGGAAGCATGTCAAAACGAGTTGCTTCAAAATCGATATCGCGCGCGCGCTTTCCGTTTACTATCCGAACTCGCTCCCTTACTCGTTTGCGTGGGATTGGGTCTGACCGTTCCGTACCTACTAGCCCATTACACGGCACACAGAATAGGTGAGCTTTTCGTGCAGGTTACTTTCATATGGTTTAAATGGTATCTGATATCCTCCAGAAGGCTTCGTTTGGATCGTCCCCAGATGTATGTAGTTCTTTGCCTATCATTTATTTATGCCGAGGCATAACGAAATTTCCATGTTGTCAAATCGGAAGTCCACTATTTTGCAGTTCCCATCTGTGGCTATCTGGATGCGACAGTCGCCAAACCCGTGCGCAGAAACCGTGTAAGATTAACCGAGGTTTTTCATCTTTGTTGGAGCTAATCGGTCTGCTTTGGAGGCGGTTCTTACAGATTAGAAAGGGACGACTCAGCTACCCTGGCTAAGGTTTCTGTACAACGATCTCTCCATTAACATTTGGACTATAATTGACTGTGTGGTGTAAGATCTGTTTTTTTGAATGAAAGTCCGAGTGACGCTAAGGATGCTGCTCGTGTCACAACGCATGGGAATCCCTGACGGTAGCACTTCATCGAAGCTGGCTGATCTATCCCTGTACTTTGAACTCTTATGGTCCTAGCTGAAGCTTCTCTTGGCCGAACACGACATGCGACCACGTGCCACGGACACTTAAACTTCAAACTTGGTAACGTACTGTCCATGTGCATATGCATGCGAAAATTTCCTGAATACAAATTATTGCAATTCATCATGCTTACCGCTTTGTTTATTTCACCAGCAACCGTCGACACTAATATGTATCGCTTCGGCGCACTCTCCACATGCGTTCCCCTTCATTCCCCCCTATTTTTAGGTTTGGAAATGGAGTTCACACTTCGCTTCATCTATCCGGCGCTTTTCGCTCTGATAGTTCTTGTGGTGCTGGGCCTATTGGAAACTCGACATTTACAAACACTGTATACGCGCATTAAGGATGAAAAGTAAGTATTCTGTTCAGAATTTTTATTGAGGTGATGTGTATCGACAACTTGTGGATATTCTGTCGCATGACTACTCTAAGGTGGTCTTTTAGTCTCAGAAACGTGTAACGGATAAAGGCCGACACTCCATGCTGTTTCTTTCAAATTATTCATAACCAGATGTCTTCAGACAGGCCTAGCTGAATGCCACACATTAGCGTGGATAGCCATCATTTTTGTCGTAGATCTTATGTTCATATGGCACCAGATCAATCAGCACCCCCTATTGAACTGTGCGAACTTCGCAGACGTTAAACGCCAACAGTACGACTGTACTGCGAACGTTATCACAGTTTACAATATATATATATATATATATATATAATCATCCTTTAGCGTTGCTCTCTGTCAGAATAGGACTGCACCAAACTGTGGCAAGCTTGGCTCCCACACTCTTTAGTTGAAATGCTCACACAAAAGCATAAAAATTATGCAGTACGCGGGTTTTACAGCAGGTGATGATTGTTCGGTAGACAATTTCAAGCTCTTTTGGAATGATTCGTATTCATTTGGCTCACAAGGGAAACTAATTTAACGATCAAGACTAGGACTAGCAAGTCCAAACTTTATCAGTTATTGATTAGTTTCCCTTCTACGCTCATTGTGGTGACATTCTCCGGACAGGGAAAAATGCTTACCATGGTCCCAAAATTGGCATATGGAGGCTGTGGTATCCGACTTATATCCAAGGGTAATAACTTACATCCCAACGCCCCTACGCGTGAGTTGGTTTGGTGAATGCCTTTTCATCAGACTGGAGTTAGTGTATGTAAACAGCGGACATGGTAGGCATAATGTCGGAAGTAGGCCCTGGTGGCTGTCGCCATCAAGAAGCAAAACGTCAGGAATAGCAATTTACTTTAAATACGAGTTTCCTGTCTAACGACTGCTTCACAGTTAGGGTTTGTGGTATTTTCGGAGCAAATGAATGTTTACTAATAACACATTGTTTATGTATGACCGCCATTATTCTGAGTCTAATACACTTCGCTAAAAATAGACAACTGTATACTCGGACGTGACTTGGACTGATGGTCGGCCGACCTCTGCAAAAAGCCCTACTGATATTGCGATGTGTGTAAATGCACGTCAAAGCTTGCCTCGATCGGTCGTTCTAACCGAGTTTACCGTACACATACCCTTTAAAAATCTGTCGATGCGGTACCCGTCAAAAAATGAGGGATCATCCGCCAAATGGCACTTGAAGTAATACGCACTTTGGCATTACTTGATAAATTGAACTATCCTATCTGAGGACAGAAAGATGTGTTTATCATATTCATCTTCGTAACCTATCTGTCTCACTCAGCTGCTTGTCAAAGTCAACTTAACTTACGTTTTGGTGAAAATCGTAGCCTGAGGGCGCAGGAACCAGGGGATAGAATAACTGTTTGGAGTGTACAAGGGATCATCTAGCATGCCCTTCACGAAAGGCTTACTAAGGTTTGACATCGATATGCATTTGCGTATTCGTGTCGAATGGTTCATCTCCTTTGCTGGCGATGAATATTAATTTCTGCCACACATGTCGTCATATGAGTGATCGTTCCCAACGGCGACCCTAATCGGGCGGCGTTACTCTAGGAAAGTTGATTTCCATGGAGGGCAGTTTGACGACAGTCACAGCTTGTGAGTCAAATGTTATTATTCCCAACCTGCCCTTTGCACAGGTACCTCGTGGGTCGTCGCTTGGTGAATTTCGGGTCAACAGCTCCTGCTGACAAACCAATTGCAGCAATAGAACGGCAGTAGTCATCACTGCTTGGATGTCAAAGGTCTCTTCCGTGTTAGATGCACACACACATTTTGTACATAGCACACACGGTTTGTCTGCTTACCGCATTCCTATGGTTTGTGAGGTTAAGAAGGCCGATCCCTGCCACAGACCGGGCTTTTCGTTTTTGTGCACACGGCTTCGCGTTAATGGACATGCCTGTCTAGTTTCCTCCCATACCTCCTCTCCTATCACTTTATTGTGAGACCCGGGCGTTGCGGCAACCAACAGCGCAAGGTCATGGGTTTTTGTTGGTTTGATTTTTATTATTACAATGAGGAAATAAAAATACAGAAGCTATACAATGTATGTTCATTTCAGTGATCGGGGTTTGCGATTAAACGTGTCTCGAACACGGAAATGCTGAAGGAGAAAGGAGGGAACGGGAGTAGAAATGTGACAAGAAATCACATAAATGAATACATAGACACTGAGTAGCGCATCATGTCGGTTAGGTCGGGAAAACATTTTTATGCAACGTAGTGTATGGTGCCGTATAAGTTGTGTTCTTGTGTGAACAGACGTAGTACGAGACAATAGCAGTACTTAGCGAAAAAAAAGCGATGAATACACTCGAACAGTCAGTGTACGGTAACATTTGAACTACGATGGTTTCTCGATAGGACAGACCACTTACAAGTGTTTAAAACCCTTCAACGGTCTAAGGCCCGTCTAGGTGTTTCCGTTACTCTTAAGTTGGACACAAATCGATATATCTGAGTATACCCCACCAAGAACGATTGTCTTTGTGTTGTGTGACTTTGTTTTGAGGTTCTGGCACAAGCTTGTAACCGGTGAAACCAAGTTAACCTTACCTAGGTCGTACAAAAAACACGGTTACAGTCGTAAAGCAGCGTCACCTTAAGGCAGTAAAAATGCCGTTGACGTAGAAACGATCTGCAGAACATGCTAAAATAACAAGAAGACTAGAACTTCTAGTTTCCAGAGGTTTCCTGTCTATCAAGAAACACTACGTCTTGCAATCAGTAATGTTAGGGTGGTGACTCTCAGTGAGTTGCTCAATGAACTCAGTCCTCGTTCTTCATGTATTTATATCCACCGAAGAAGTCAATGGCCTCGGCTCAATTGAAGCCGCATGCTTGTTAGAAAGTGGATCCAGAGAAATTTTAAGTGGTAGCCTGCATTCTGGGGCCGAGACGGCTCAGTAGTTAGAGCGCGAATTTACTAAACGGAAGGTCCGTGGTTCGAGCCCGACCTCTGCTTCTCGGCTTCCCTGTCTAGGCTTGGACAACCTGACAATATCCGATCTCTCGTGTCACCTTCTGGTGGCATGGCACTTGGGCACCGAAAGGGTGCTACAGCTGAACGATTTTTTGCATTCTTTGGCTGAAATACCACATATGTGTTGCTATACCGTTTTGAACAGAAATTCATGTTCTTGAACGTTGAAATAGGGGGCAACTTTCTATTATGTTGGATGACAAAATAGCCAACCACTGAAGTAGAAGAATTTTTCGCAATCCAGTATTCCTGGTAGGGAGGATTATCAGTCAACCCGCTGATATTATAGCATGAGTTGTGTCGGTGAGTTTCAATATTTCTCTATCGCCTTTTATCGGGGGGAGGGGGGGCGTCGGTACCCCTTTGTTGGTCAGAGAATCGGAACGGCGCGAACTACTGTAAGCGATCAAACGATAGAACTTGTATCGAAATCCAGAAAAGCCAAACTACCTTTTGGTACGTTTTTCGATTTACAAGCTTCTCCCTCTCGTCCTGCACTCGTCGAAAAAACTGGCTTAATTCCCCAGTTTTTGGTATTTGGAGAGGCTGTGGGAGTGGAAACGCAATGACAACAATTACTATTTTTCGAAAACTTGTAATGAACGTGATGAACCAGATCTGCAATGCGGCCGATGAGTCATTTCTTCAAACCAGTGAGTGAAAACAAAAGAGCCTGTGAGGGAATTAACTAAACCAATCGTAAGCTTCAATCTGCTGGAATAATGGTGCAAATTTGAAGAGGCAATACACCTTGCCGAGGTTCATGGGCACCTCGATGGAATGACGAGACAGTTGTGAAGATGCATGTCTGAGCACGTGCTTGGCATCGAATGAAAATTCCTTTTGTTGCCTGTAAGAACTTTATCGGCACAGAAGCAATAAGTGTACATTTTCAGGACAACTACCTAGACACATTCACAGTACGTTATGTGCAATCGGTGCGTCTCACGTAGCTGGGTTGACTTCACACTGGATATTCCAGTCCTGGCCTCTGTTTATCGGTTCTGGTGTACAATGTAGATGATCCGGAAGATCAACCAACTATCAAACTTTCTGACGCCTCTGTGTAAACCCATAACATACAAGGTGCTGTTGAAGAGGAGGCAGTGATGTCTCATTTCACCTGATGATAAAACGTTTGCATTCACATCGCCAAGATCAGAAGACAGCCAAACGTAGTAGTGTCCTACGGATTGAAGAAGGGCGAACTGAAAAGTTTTCGCACTCAAGTGGAAAACTATAACTGGCTGGCTGGATGTAAGGAGTATGTGCAAGCGTCGGTCGCGAACAACTTCGTTTTGTGTTAAGATGTTCGCGTTCATGTTAGACAAAACTGAGATGGCCGCATTAAGTCTCCTGAACCCCAGTTTTATACTATCCTCAATATTTCCAATGTGAAGAATACGACGGCGCGTAGGCTGTTTGGAAACATCCGTTTGCAGCCCGATGATAACGATTTTCACTTTTAAGGAAGTTGGTGTCTGATCGGTGCTGCCATCTGGACGACCAGCGTCCAGAAACTGGAAGCGTCCGCTTCCTCTCTGATCAAGCTGAACATGGTGTAAGTCGCGCCGAAACACTGGATATGATGTTTCACCTCAAAAAATATCGCTACATCAGCACTTCAATCTTACCATTACCGTAGATGAGGAAGACAATGTCGGCGCTGATGCTACCGCGTTAGCTGTTCCAGTCACCTCCACTGTCTGGTTCGTGGACGTTGTACGCCTCCTTGAACGTCTATCAAACAAAGACAAAGAAATGTGAATGTCTAATCGTCAGACATGCGAATGTAGTGGACTAGACAACCTAGGTCAAATTATCTGAACCGACCCATTGCTGGGCCCTGTTCTTGAGCACAAACAACTATGTCACGACGAAATTAACACGATTCAAACGTTTACAAATACTCCTATCTACGCCACAATCAAGGTTGACAGGAGACTCGGCTAAATGCAGCCGAATCTCCCGTTTATGATGGTCGACTAGATTACACCAAAATACCTAACAACTTCGTCTCCCTGCCAAGGAACCCATGAGATTGTTGCTTTTGTTGTCATGAGAATTATTAGTCGTCGATCATATTGAGTGGAGCTATGATCTCAACCTCATCCGCCTCAGAAGTGCCGATTTTATTCATCTGCTCCGAAAGTACACTGTCTCTGAGAAATACACTCATTTGCGAATCAATTTGGTTTTCAACTGAATCTCTCCTTAATGATATTCTACAACTGAATGTGCTGCACACAGGCCGCCTCATGATTCAGTTGGCACGATATTCGAGATATCGCAGTATATTTTCATAGAGCAAACCACTCACAAGGTTGCTGAAAACTCCTCGACAGCCCACGATCGGTTTCGCCCTTCTTGAGGCTCATCAGTTAGGCGCGGTCCCCAAGTTTCCGTCAACCTTATGTTCTACTTGAACCCAAATTAGACAGTTTTCGAGAAATACACTCATTTGCAAATCAATTTGGCTTTCACGAGAAACTCAACTGAATCTTTCGTTTATGATATTCTACGACTGAAGTGCTGCACACAGGCCGCCTCATGAATCAGTTTGCATGATATTGGAAATATCGCAGTATATTTTCATAAATGACAAATGTTTTGGGTCAAATGTTAAAATTTGTCGTAATTCCTGAGGAGTGACATGAAAAGGTCCTAGATATGGACCTGGAGAGCCCCATGGCCTGTTCGATTGGGCGAGTGATTTATCGCTATACTGTTAGGTAGACAGCCACACGGACGTTCGCGAATTCGATGACCAGAAAAAATGGCGATTGGCTGACCACATGCACAAAAATACAGAGGTGATGCTTCTGCTATTTGAACCCTGTGTCCGCAAACCCCTGAGAATGGGTATCTAAGTTTGTAATGAAAGCCTTTTGGCTTGGACAGCCTAGCCGAGAAATCGCAAGCCGATTCAAACGTGCGAGGTGCCTTTCCCGAAAGTATCCAATAAGAAAATAGTCAAACCAAGAGCCCTACGGTTTTACTGTCAAAAAAGTCACAGCACAACGTTTTGATTATTTCCACATATTTTCGGTAAGCAAAAAGCTTTTTTTCAGTTCCAAAAGGAGCACCGTAGCAGATGATAATGAAATTGAGGCTTGTGGAATGAATCCGTTGTAGTGGAATTCAGTTACTTCTAATTTGAAGAGCATTCGCCAAGGCTCAAAAATAAGTTAGTTACTGGCTTTAATAATCGTAGCTAGAATTTTTTTTCGGACGAACGGACTTCGTAAATAGACACGGACCAGTCCTCTAGCATTCGAAGAAAGCAGCATATTCTGTGTGTAACGACTGTAGTTCATCAAGAAAATGTCACGGTAACTGACAGAAACTGCACATACAAGAACATACCGGACTCTTTTGGTTGGCGTAACAGAGGGTTCGTCACAAGAAGGATCCATCTCATAGCACCTTTTCTTTTGCTGCTTAGTTTGAGGAGGAACAGAAGGGGTAGGAACATCGTCTTCCGGATCCGCAGTCTTTGGTTGTAATTGTAAGTCCGAAAACAAAACTGATTTGAAAAGTGAAGTAAGCTGGGAAACATCGACTGAGCGAGAATAGGTTTGTCTGCACAGTTTACAGAGAAGACTTTGAAACGAATTAATGACCGATCTCGGCAGCAGGAACGGGTTGAGAGTGAACATGCTTAAGCTCTTTACCAATTGAGCAAATACCGGATTTGTGGGAGACGTTGAAACAGACAAGGAGTTCAGGTTGTCCTCGATTTCCGGAACTGGGAAAGAAGCGGTATGGAGAGGCATTTGCAAGGCATGATTATGAAATAAACTCTGATGTGGCCGTATCTTGTGGGAACGAGTTGATCCAATAATAGAGCAACAGCTAAAGTCGACGACACTGAGGAGACGGTCGTACACACTAAGAATGTCGATTACAAAATCTATTTGGTCCCACTGTTCTATGAAGCACCGTGAAAAATACGAGGGGGCGAGCTCAGGAGGCATTGGGAACGAAAAATGTTTCCGAGCCCCAATGGTGGCACTGTGCTCAAAATTCTGAGTGTACCAGAGAATGAGTATAGGTGCACCAAGGAAATTCACAAGCTACCTTAAACAAGAGAGCCGGCACAAACTGTTTGCAGCTTTGAAAAAAAAGAAATGTCTTCCAAACACCAACCGGCTAACACACAGCAGGTTCTACAAGTAGATAAATCCCGATGACGCTGGAAACACGATTACATGAGAGCACGTAGCTTGCACCATTCGGAAATCGCTGTCAGCATAATTGAAAGGTCTGTCCAGCAGAAACCCAGACTTTTGCACCAAAAAATCTCACCAGCTGTAAGGGAGAATGACGCACTACTCTATTTACACGTACATTAGACAAGGTTCTTCAAGAATGAAACTCCAACCAGTCACTTTCAAGAAAAGCAGGTGCTATCTGTGTGTGACAATACAATGCGTAAAAGCAACCCCTACATTCCTGGACCAGAATAAAGTGGCAATTTATCGATCGATTGATTGCACAAACGGGGGGAGATGGCCCAAGTGGTTAGAGCGCAAATTTACTGGCCGGAAGGTCCGTGGTTCGAACCCGACCTCTGCCACTCGACTTCTCCTGTCTAGGTTTGGGCGACCTGGCAGTATCCCAGCCCTCGTGCTTCCTTCGGGTGGCATGGCAGTTAGGCACCGAAAGGGTGCTACAGCTGAACGAATTAGAACACTCAACTTACGCTCCCAAATTTCGCAAAACTTCCGTAGTAGAACCCGCTGTAGTTCACGCGTTGCTTTTAACGATGTCGTGCGCTGAACTTCACGTAAGACGAAAAGGGGTCCAAGTGGGAGGATGCTCATCGAGTCATCGAGTAAGTCTTCTCCGGTGGCGTTCAGAGAAGCTGCCAGGTGAATAGCAGCTGCTGTAGCCAGAAAGATCCCAGTACAATCAGTTACTCTAGTTGAGGCTACTTCCAATGCCTTTCGCATAACCGCGAGCTCCGGGAAAGCGCCAACATCCCCATTCTGCAATAACTCCAGCAACTCAGCGAGACTACCAACGATTTCAAAGGAAAAAAAGATTTTGTTTTTGAAAACAATATGCATTGGACATGGGTCAAAAATTAGCAAAATCGGTAGAGCTCAGTAGCTTTAACGTTCTACCAGTCACAGATATCATTTATAGGTAAAAGGCGCAGTAACACAGACTAAACACAGAAAGTCACATGAAGTATTTTGGCACAAGTTGGGGTAGGGTCGACCTTAGGGTGAGCAGATGACATTGTTCAATACATTTCGTGCACATAGTGTTGGTTGTGAACATTGATTCAAAAACAGCTAACTTCAGTTTACTTGCAGTAAGTGCAGGGGGTCATGAGCTACGCGACACATCTATGAGAAGGGCCATCTGATCAACTCCTCTGAAGATCACCAAGCTCCAGTTCATAACAAAACCCGAAATTGGCTTTTTTTAAGGAAATGTTATTTGTAACATAACAATAACCAGCGCTTTGTGCACAAAAACTATTGAATCGGAGCATTCACTTACCCCGGAGCTGACCCGACCGTAACTTTTACCGTTTGACCTCCTCATGTGACGTTCGACCTTCAGTTTCTGTTACTATGCCAACTAACTATAAATCTAGACGATTTTATGCCTGCGACTGATGAAAGTAATTTGAAATGCTAATCTCTAACAATCTGTTCTTCTGTTGTTTTGGTGATGTATGCAAGAGTTGGGTAAATTAACTCATTTCGGCCAACAGGGGAAACAGGATAAACGGCAAAACAAAATAACCAGTACCTCAAAACCAGATCGAGAACTACTCCAGAGGATGCTTCGTTCAGATAGGGTAAAGGGCGGTTCAGCAGCAGGGCAGCTAGGAATTCATAAACATCAGAAAACCTCATCCCAGGTAGAAGTGCTCTTTGAGCTTTTGGAGCAAACCTTTCCTGCTGTCCCAACAATTTGGCGTATTGGTCGATCACCTGTAACGAAAGCAGAAAACAGGTATGATTTTACTAGGCCTCGGTGGGTTCCCTTCCACTAGGAATCATGATCACTGCCAGTGGAAAATGAGTGCCCGTCCACGTAGTAATAGATTAAGCATCCAAAGAGACAGCATTGCTGGTAATGGGGTATTTTGGCCTATTTGGGTGCTGGTACCCTTTCGCATAGGAATCTGTTTAGGTGTCGCTGCATACCGTATTACCAATATAAACTGGTTTGTCACGCAGTCGCCTATTTCGTAGGCGTGATAGTTGCCAACACGCGTTCGTCTGAGCCTCTAAAATAGTCATCCGGTCAAGAGCTAACGATCTACTAGGATTTTAATTCGTCTACTCATGAACTGCACCGAACAAAGTTTTGGTTAGCCCAACTATCGAATAAGAATTGTTTTCCGCCAAAGATACCTGTTTATGGTCGTTGGCTTGTTCACTGAACTGGGCAATTTGATTGCAAACGTTTCACCACCAATCGGGATGACGTCATCAGAGCGTCATTGGGGAGCGCAGTGATGCGTAGCGATGGGTTAGTGGTTGTACCTGTTTATTCGACGGCCGTCCACGACTCCCGATGACAGACCATAATATAGGACACGAAGGGACTGGACCTTACCGTGGTGTGATGGTCCGTGTACCTCAGTGACACACGATGTTGGTCAATGGTTAGAGGTCTGACGAAAACAATCTCCTGGTCCTCCAAGTTGTCTGTTGGAACATGTGTGGCAAATAGTTCTGTAAAAATTGAAAAGCGATTGCATTGCCCGCCAGAAACCGCTGCCTTGTGGTCAGGCTTTTGAGCTGAAGGCTTTGGTTGAGGACCCTAATCGCCCTCCTGTCTAGGTGTTAGCACCCCGGCAGCATCCCAGCCCACGTACAAACATGAATCACACACATACAAATAAACTCATGCCACATCGGCCCTCACGTGGTGCAATCAGTCTTACTCCCTGCATACAGCAGGACGGGGTAGGCGAAAACGTGCTAGTACTGACGCCTCCCTTCTTTCTCCTTCACACACTTTTTCTTCCTCCCCACCCCATTAATAACTCTCCTCTTGTAGGCCCAGAACTTGGGACTAACAACTCCCTTCGTCATGCATCTGTTTCGCGCGCAACATCTGCTCGTCACATGGCACCGACATCCTCAGGTATCACTAAACCAATCTTAAAGCATCGAAAACAAGCTGCTCTCGCTCTCACACTGGACTCGCTTGGTATTGATATGTGCTGTGTCTCAGAAACAGGAATTCATGATGAAGCACAGTGATTGAGCTAACCGCCCCATCAATCTCCTCTCACTTCCGGCTACGCCCCTCTGGTGATCCAGAGGCTGCTGCGGCGGGATGTGCAGGGCTTAGTATCATCCTAATTCAACGGGCTGAAGTATCCTTGCTTGACTGGATACCTGTTGATAGTCACCTCTGTGCGGTTCGTATAGCAACGTCTGTGAAGGAGTATCACAGTATCATCGTGTACACCTACTCCCCAACAGACTGTAGCTCCCATGCCGTTAAAGACAGGTTTTATGACGCCCTGAATTTCCCGTTGGGACGAGCTAAGAGCTCAGACATCTTGGTGGTTGCCGGAGATATGAATGCACAAGTGGGGAGCCTTAGTGCATCTGAGACTCAATTGGGAGGTCGACATGGACTGGACTGGGTACGTACGGACAGTGGGGAACGATTGCTTCAGCTGTGAGCTGATCCCAGGCTGCTTTTATGGAGTACCAACTTCCAAAATAGACGAAGTCGTCTGGCCACATGGTGTCTTCCAATGGCATGCCGGCCACAAACTCAAACTGATCACATTGCCATCAGTTACCGATGGCGCGGGTCAATAACTGACTGTCGGTCGTTTTGGAACACATTTTTGGATTCCGACCACACGCTCGTCCGGAGTCGCTAAACCTACCCCGTAAGGTGCGGACAAATCGTTTGGCAACTGAAAAACTGGTAGATCCGGATGTTATACAACTTACCACAACCGTCTTCTAGGGTCACTTCCAAACGCACCACCAACAGATGAGAATTTATACTGGGACGAGACTGCCGTTTCTGTGTGTAGTGCTGGGAATTTCGCCTTTGGCGGAGCACCACCAGGCTCACTCAAGCACTGGATATCAGTCTCGGGGAAATATCCAGCTGGCCCCGAACATCACTTGACGCCACGATTTGTCAGACGTTAAGTGAAGGTGAGCGAGCGAACCAACCGTAAAGTCTTATTGACAATGAAAGCCAAGCAAATGGAAGAGGTCCAGAAAGCCGGGAATGCCCGATTATTTCAGTTGATCCGTGAAACCAGTCCCCGGAAATCATCTGTGAGTCTCGATCATTGGGCGGAATACTTCAAACAACAATTGTCGTGGCCACCAGCTGGCACCCAACTGGAGCCGACAGGTGACGTAGAACCCTAGACGGTGGACGTGGAACCACCTACGGCCTCGGGGGTTTACGACTACACGTACTCTCTCGAGTGCCAACGAGCTTCTGATCCGGATGACCTTCCACCCGCATTGTTCAAAGTCGGGGTTTGAATCCTTAGTCAGTGCTTGTTTGATTTGTTTGCTTGCATTTGGGAAGAGACTGTCCCAGACAACTGGGGAGAATAGGTAACAGTGCCTTTTAAAAAGGGGGCTCGCAATGAGTGGCGTAACCACAGGGTGATCAGCTTCATCCCGGTCGTAACGAGACTCTTTGATTCACATTCCCTTCGTCGCCTTATGGTGACTCGAGAAGCACTAACTGGAGAGCAGCAAGCAAGATTTCGGCCTGATAGGGGTTGCGTTCACAATCTATCAGGTGCTAGAACAATGCCATACGTACAAACGACCCACAATCTTAGTATTCTTCGAGTTCTCAGGCGCATTCGACTCGGTTGATCGATCTGTTCTTCTTGAGACGCTTGCCCACCAAGGAATGCCCCGGAAGTTTGTGAACATAATACATTCTTAGAACTCTCGGACTTCTGGACGTGTGAGAGTAGAGTTCTCCAAACGCTTTCGCACACAAAGCGCTATCCGCCAGGGGTGCCTATTCCCTCCATTGCTAATTACTTTAGTGGTCGATGAAATAATGAGACCAACACTGGAAGGTGTTCACAACCCGGTGCCCAGAGAGACCGATATTGCAAACAAAATCCTGTAACTGAAAGTTCAGTAGTATGCGAACATTCGTCAGGAAGGTTACGATAAGGAAACCATCAGAGGACAAATCCAGAAGTTGGAAGAATAGAAGCAGGAGCCTCCAATACCATAGTATGTAGATAGCTAACTAACCAACAGTCCCGAAATTCTTGTAACACCATAAGTTAGAGGGCTCTCACACATAAATCTATTTTCCATCCGCAGTTACGCATCAGTCAATGCGACCACGCACCTAGTCTGCAGAGACAGTATTTGGGTGCACTCAAGTAAAAGCACTTCCACCACACACGGGGAATGAGGCTACCGTCATATACTATAAAGGCAAATGAGATAGATTTGTCGCATACCTCATTGTGAACGATCACCGCATGCGAAAGACGCAAAGTGCGCTGCCTTCGTAGATATGGTTATTCTGAGAAGTTGTACAACAGATTTCAAAACCCTTCGAGAGCCCGCAGACATAAAAACCGGATAATCTCGCTAAGCGTGCAGGCTTGATTACTAGACTAAGCATGGTCGGAGACTAACATTTAAATGGAGATTCACGGCGACGTCCGTAAACTTAGCAGTTCCTACAGCGAGAGAGGAAGGAGAACTCTGAAATCCGGTAGCTCGATACCTACACATAGTAAGCAAATTATACTACCCATCCTTATTTCTTATTTGCATTAGTTAGGGGCCAAATGATACTCCCATCAACGGTCTCTTCGAAACTAGTGGGCACTAATCGGTCAATGTGATCACGTGACAAAGGCAATCTGGATTAAACTAACCTGTCCGATAGCTGCGGAGAAAGATAGATCTTCACCGCTAAGATGCCTAGTTGTTTGAATGAGGATCTAACGGACAACAGCTGTCAATTAAGGAAATAAAGCAAATTACATCCGTTAATGACTCTGGTTTACATGGTTGCAGTTCAACGGACGGGGAAGACCCTGTTGTAAGAAAATGAGGGTAACGGATTTACAAACCAATCAGTTCCTCCTCAGTAGTTTCCAGAAGAACAGATATTAGTTCTTTAATCTTGTTGAAAAATGACAGGTTGTGTTACATAACAGCCTACCTTAATGACTGTTTTTGGTCGTAGAAATTCGGCCAACTGTTTCGGGCTTAGTGACCGATCGCTAGAAGCAAACGGTGAACAAAATAATCATTTACCGTTTTAACGCCTCCAGCAAACGATCCAATTGGTGATCAGTCCATTCAGAAACGACATCCCACACATTCCTTCGAGTCATCGTGTTCTCACACCGGTGGAGCGGAACAACTGAACAAACAGTGCTAAAACAGAGGATAGTTAGACATGCATGAATGGATAATTATTCGCAGATGTCGTTTAAAGTTGATTTGAATCAAAGCTGAATTTACCGAGTTCGTTTCTTCTACTGAACCCGGTGGTTAGGATAACGCCCATTTGAATTCGGTAGCGGGTCTTCGTTGTTGAAGAGAAACAAACTATAAAGAATGAACCAGACTCCGAAATTTCCGGACGTGAATGGAACTTTTCATGAGTGAAACCGTGAAACCGGGACAGAAGTCAACAAACTGGGACTTTTACAACCGGCTGGCAAACGCAAACTAGACACAGTAACCCTATCAAGGGACAGTGCTGTAGCCCGGATTCACAACCTCATATGGGTGTAGCGGAGGTCCTGCCAGACAAGTTATTTCAAATCCGAAGTGTGTTTAGCTCACTCATACGCCTCTCCCCAAAGCGTGCAGTGTTTGCAACCCGACCACTGATAAGAATGGAATTCCCAACAGAAAAATTCTGCGATATCCCACAGGAAACGCCAGAAAAGATCGGTCCCATCCCCACTTTTGCACGAAACATAGCCGTCAGAAGCATCAGGAGAACCACCAAAGTGGGTGGTCTTTTGAGCAAAGAACTATAGTTACAGTAAAAGTAAAAGCATAGATAGATCAGAGGCACAGAAAGAAAGAAAACCAAACATAAGAAGGCACAGAGGAAAAGGTAAGAAAAAGCAGTCTAATGATGCTTCTCTCGTCAGAGTACGAGATTCGTTGACTTTTTTTCTCCTGTGTGAAATAGTTATTCCATCTCTCTATGGTTATCGTAACGTAAACACCAAGAGGCGCGCCCTTAAATCACTCGCACCGAACGGCTGGACAGTATAATGGGACAATTTGTACACTGTAAAACGGTAGCGAACAACCTCACATGAGGCGAGTAGAGGGCTAGCCTCGTTGCTTATTGTTTTTCACAGCATCCCTACACTGTATCTGGGAGGCACAGATCCCAAAAATCTTTCCCATGGGTGGAACGAACGTGCGTTCCAACTAGACTCCGACATGAGTTGCATTCCTCATCAGCGAAATAGTGTTGGTATTCTGCATGCTTTGTGTAGTGTATCAACTAGTGACATAATTTACCTATGGGTAACTCAGGCAGTTAGACGTATCCAGCAGAAACGATGACTGGGACTGAACCATATCGTGATCGGGGCAAGATGTACCAAGTGGTTAGAGCGCAAATTTACTGACAGGAAGGTCCGTGGTTCAAACCCGACCTCTGCCTCTGAACTTCCCCTGTCTAGGGTTGGGCGATCTGGCAGTATTTCAGTCCTCGTGCTTCCCCCGGGTGGCGTGGCAGCTAGGCACCGGAAGGCTGTTACAGACGGACAATTTTTATTCGTGGAGGAGGGATTACGACGAGTTTCGCCTCATAATAAGCTATATTCGTACAGTTTGAAAGGGGGACATAGGAGCTCCATAGTAACAGTTTCAAGCGTACTTGAACGTTAAATATGATATTGGTTACCGCTGAAACATCTCACCTTGGTGATCTTAAGCTCAAAACGGAGAGTTGCCACGCTGAAGAGACCATCTTTATGAAATATCAGTGTCTCAACTTTGTGCTTCATTTTGGACCAGTTCCTTTAGGTGCTCTCAAGAGCATAGCTACAAAGGGAAGTGCATAAGTTACCGTTCAAACGATAGCTAGCTAAACGACTGGTGGCTTTTGCTATTCTATTTCGCATTCCTTTATATACATCAGATTCAGCAATATCAGCAGAAGACAACCGCAAATCTTACCACTCGCTTAGCACAAGAGTTGCAGGAAACCATACTGGGGATGGCCAAATTTGGGTAGGCAAATGTCATGAGAAACGCCAGTCCGAATATGAGAAGAAGCATATCCACAAATCCAATGAAGGAGATGTGGTGAATATCACACACAGCCATCACCAAAACAAAATAATCTTGAAAAACGCGGAAGACAAAATAGATTGATATTCAAAGCTGTAAAGAAGTCAATTTTGACAAAAGATCACTTTCACCCTGAGGATGAGTTGATGGAACAGTACGCCGAATGGGTGCATAGATAAATGCATTTCTGAACCAGCCCCATCGGGCACCAGAGGACTGCAACCGGATTGGACTGCGAAAAGGATTCAGTATTGGGGCACTCACGCCGGTACCCTCAAGATCATCCAGTACGGTACCACATTCAGGATGATATTCGTCCACACCAACGCCAAGACAATGTGCCACGCGATACCCCCACGCACAGCTGTACAGACATGAGTCAGTGAAGTAGGCAGGGACATTGAGTGCCTGCAACAGAAAATGGGGATAGAAGGATAACCAAAGTTAAACGAGCTACGAATAACGATAACAAGGACAATTGCGAGCACGTATGACCTGAGAGTACCAGGAAAATACCTGACTTGAAGATGGTCTATCCTAATGGTCGCGGATTCAGTCACCCCGTTTTGGAAGAGCTCGCCCAGAAAGATAGACCAAAAGGCGGTGCAAAGAGAGACTGCACCATGACATTGTACACTAGGAAATCAACAAAAATGGTTCCTTGTGAAAGGTTGTCTCAATTAAAGGGTGATACTCGTATTTCAGGGGGGAAACCGATCATTCCGACGACTGGAAACAATGCAAAGATCTCTGTTTGAGTATTCTTGCGTGGCTGGAGCCCCCCTTAGCGCCAGCAGTCGTCACAAGACACCACTAATTTCACATTCACGTTGCTTTATACACATACGGCATGATTGAGATGAATGAGGGAAACGGTCTGAAACAACACGACTTACATGAATCAACTTCAGAGTTGGTGTCCAAGTACTATAAGCAGCCAAACCCGAATTGAAACCTAAAATATGTGCGTACAGACAAGTTACGGCACCAAACAGTGGTCAAGGAAAAAAACTTATTTATGTGAAGTGGGACAGGCACAAGTGAGGAAACAAACAAGTAAAAAACCAACACAAACTGAGTGCAAACACTCAGTTGCATTGAGTGGCTGTAAAGGTAGGATACCGGTGTAACTTCACCTCCACCGAAAGCACTTCTACCTTCCTCATCGCCTTAATCACGCCCAGCCTTCACTAGTAAGCTTAGCTGTTCATCGCTAACACTCGGTGTACAATCCTGAAAAGGATGTAAAAATCGGATATTCCCTTACTGAACTTCATCGTAATACTTCATCGTCAAGACGAGACGGCCCAAGTGGTTAGAGCGCGAATTTACTGACCGGAAGGTCCGTGGTTCGAATCCGACCTCCGCCACTCGACTTCCCCTGTCTAGGCTTGGGCAACCTGGCAGTATCCCAGCCCTCGTGCTTCCTTCGGGTGGCATGGCAGCTAGACGCCGGAAGGGTGCTACAGCTGAACGCTACTTCATCGTCAATGCTGGTTTTTCATTGTAGCACAATGTTGCTAACGCTAATGTGGCACTGCATACTTGATATCAAAAGTGTACAGATCAGCACGACAACCAACACACCGAAATGGCAGGTTAGCGCACAGAATGACCTGTTACTCAGTCCCTCAGTTAAAAGAAGCAAAAGAAAGTTCATAGGGGTAGATCCACTGGAGGATGGGATCGTAGTGATGTGAAAATCACTTTCAATAACGCACAGACGTAATACACTGCTCATTAAAATTGCTGAAAACTCTTCAGCAGCCCACGACCGGTTTCGCCCTACTTAGGGTTCATCAGGTAGGCGTAGTCCTCGACTTTCCGTCAACCTTATGTTCTACTTGAATCCAAATTGGATAGATTTTGACGAATACACTGATTTGCATATTCATTTGGTTTCGACAGCAAACGCACCTGGAACCCGGCCGTTTATGGTGTTCTTGATCCACCTTATGCGTAGTACACTACGTCTACACAATGTATTGTAAAAGCTTGAATATCTTACCGACTGAAACATGAGGCGGCCTGGTGCACCACATTCAGTTGAGTAAGAATATCATAAAAGGGGGATTTAGCTGGGTTCCAGATGAGCCACTCATCGAAATCAAATCGGTATGCATATGAGCCACTTTCGACTGTGATTAAGCCCAGCCTTGTTACACTCGCCACGGCAGAACCTTCTGTACTGAAAACACTGAAGATCGGAGTTGGTTTGATGCAAACGAACGGAACTCAGCCATGCTATCTTCATCTGGTGATCAGTGTCGAGTGATATCTGTTAAAGGGTAGCGGATTAATGCAACGTCTAATCAATCAGTCAAACAGTAAGACTGCTGTGGTGCTCCCATACTCAAACACCTGTGGTCATGTGTGGATAAGCTTGGTGGTGCAAGCGATCCATATAATGAGCTCGTTGAATTAGTAATTCAAACGGCCTCTCGATTGGACACCCCTCTGAAATGAACCCAAAAGAAACTGAGAACCGAAAAAAATCAGTCCTGCATGCTGGAATCTTTCCCCATAGCCTTCTGGAGTAAACTGTGCAAAGATGCAACGATAAATTAATGGGATTGTGATTGCCCATAGACGTACCAATTACAAGGTGAGGTCGGTCAAGATGTGGCAGAGAGTCGCGAATGAACTCGTGATAGGTGCTGGAACAAACGCTGACCGATAGACGAGAAGATAGATTAAAGATATGGCGATCTACGGCTGGAGAGAAATCTGTTCCAATAAAGAACAACCGCACCCTTAGGTCCGGGTTCAGCAAGTAGGCCAACTCCTGAAAATGGAGGATAAGAAAAGAGGAATGAGAAAACGGGTCAGCCGTAGTTTGTTAGGTTTTACTTAGGGGGCGGGCTCACTACCCCCCATTCTCTAAATACTGACAGTCAGTTCGCTCTGAATTGGTTTAAAAATAGGTACATTTGAGTCTCGACTTAAAACGTTCCGAGGCTCCACGTAAAACAGGGTTCACGTCGCAATCCTAAGAGTTTGCACTGTTTTGCCGTGACTATAATGAACTCCAAAGCGTAGTCCAACTTGTCATGAGTTTCAGGCATGGAGGGAAGCGTTCAGCTGTAGCACCCTTCCGGTGCCTAGCTGCCATGCCACCCGAAGGAAGCACGAGGGCTGGGATACTGCCAGGTTGCCCAAGCCTAGACAGGGGAAGTCGAGTGGCGGAGGTCGGATTCGAACCGCGAGCTGTAGCACCCTTCCGGTGCCTAACTGCCATGCCATCCGAAGGAAGCACGAGGGCTGGGATACTGCCAGGTTGCCCAAGCCTAGACAGGGGAGGTCGGATTCGAACCACGGACCTTCCGGTCAGTAAATTTGCGCTCTAACCACTTGGGCCATCTCGCATGGACGATAGTATAAACCACCGTGGAAAGTCGCTCTGGTGCTCATGCCACTTCAAGCCCACAGTGAATGATGAGGTAGTGATCCAGAAACGAGTCTAACGGTCATACTGGCCCAAACTTGGCCACTGAAAACAGAAGCGCAAGAGGAGCTTTCAGGGTGCCACTGACGCAAAGCACAGGTTTGATAAAAACAATCAATAGTTTAGCTGCATAACGACTGTTTCTCCAATTAATTTCGCGCTATCGACAACCTGAGTTAACTCCAAAGTTGTGCTGAATAATCGACGTTCTAAGGTAGCGTCCAAGTCTGGAGGAGATCAACCTGTCGTAACTGGAGGGGGTCTCTTATGCACAGATGCCTCAAACGCTGGAAATGACAGGCAGAGATCACCGGGCTCCCCAATGAAACCTGTCTCCGATCTTTGCTCTAATGAAACGTCAACGTGGTTGCTCCGCCGCTGCCTACCAATGAGGATGAGAGTTGCTTCGGAAAATAATCAGCGAAGTTTGTGTTCGGCTGGCTACCATTAGGAAATACAACGTTCTAGGAACAGACTAAACCGAAGCGCATCGTTCGTGTGTTCACGTCGGAAAACACCTTGTACCGACTGGGACTCACCAGAAAAACCGGAAGCATGGACAATTCATGTTCTACACCAACTACATGTATGGTCAATACGCCTTTCTCGAAGACTGACTGGATAATCTGCTCATCTGCAAAGACAGAGAAACCAAAGATCCGATAATTCAGAGAGATGAAGTATTTTAAAACTACTCCATGAAAGAGTGCACGTGATAAGCATGTGAAAAACTGAGAGTATAATTAGCCTATTTGATCTCTTGCTTATCCGGCGGATCGACTTGCTCACATAGATGGACATCAATTAAAAGATCGGCAGTAAAAGCCATCTCGATGCTTGAAATTCTAGGAAATCCTAGATTCTGGAGTTCTCTCTCGCACTAGCTGGTGTTGCTTAGTTGTTCAGTAAACCGGCTTGATGGGTTTTATTCTTGAAAAGAATCATAATCAGGACGATCGTTCCAGAAACCGCTTCACCTGTCTCGTAGTTATTCACACGCTTTTTAATCGTGACTGAGCACACACATGTGGTAATCTACCGCCTATTGGAGTTCAGATCACCTTATTGAAGTCGTGAAGAGTAAGTAAACATCCAACTTAGATTTGCAACTGCCAGAGAGAAGACGCCTTCTAAACGGCACAACACATCCGACAGTAATAGGTCTGGCAAGCCTCAAGCACGAATTCCCCCAATCCAATCGTTCAGTCAACTAATCCTTTTTCTGCATAGTTGCAATGTCACCCAAGGGGAGCACCAGTGATAAGACAAGGTTGATCAAGCCTAGACATGAGAAGTCGATATGCCGAGGTTGGGTTCGAACCACGAACTTTCCGGTCGGAAAGTTCGCGCCTCAACCACTGGGCCACCTAGAACTTCTCCAATTCAGGTGAAGTTCGCAGAACTAGTGAATAAAGACCTCAGTGACGTAAGTACACCGTTAACGAATCGATAGCAAACCGCATAGAATTGACTCCACCATACCGTAATTGGACTACCAACGAAAGTAGCTCTTGTTGGGCTTAGAGATGATGTAGTAAAAGCGTAGTGCAAGGAGTATGAGTTCAGTGTTCACGGATATCTCCTTGCTACTCACACGACAAGACCGTGGGAGGCTGGATAAAAAACTGTATGGATATTCAACAGAGCGAACATTGTAAGCTTCTATAGAGAAGTTAATGCATATGGATAAGAAAAAATGAAGAGTCGCGAAACAGTCTGCCAAACACAGAAGATACCTAACCCCATCGATTTGCACTACAGGAATAAAAGAGAAACTATTAAACGTACTTGTTTTCGGGAAAATATGGGCTAGCACGTAGTAAATCGTCAATGGCCAATGCAGCAAAATGGCCATTGGGCTAGAGAATTCAGACCAATCGCCATGTAAAGACTGAGAAGGAGATGGATTAGCAAATCCACGCCAGATATAATATTCAGCCCAATTGGACAAAAAGACTGCAGCCAGAGTGCTATGTCGTGCTTCCAGTGTCTGTGGAACTGTTGGGGACAGACTCAAAAGAATAGATTCCATTGGTAAACTGTAGGCGCGCAACATTGCATCCTCCGACGAAACAGTAGCGGATGAAGATTCTGACCAAACATTACAACGGGGGTCATGATGCGGTGTGTCCAACGTAGAAGTGTTCCACAGTGCACAGAATAGATGCAATTCGCCATCTGGGTCAGAAGAACGGCAAAAAGACGGGACAAATAGCAAGGTTCAATAATCCACTCCCTAACCTCATGTAAGGACTCTGGAAGTAATACAAGTGTATACGATGTCCAGAAACAGAGAGATCCAGAACACCGTCCCTTTCTATCCAAACTCGACCTACATTTCCTGTGCGGAAGGAGGATTTCCTGAAGTCTGGTTTCCATCACGCTAGGCTGAACATTTCCCAATTCCTGGTAGTTTGTTCGGTTGCCAAATAACAAGACAAAATCCATCGGTCTTTAAAGGAAATCTGCAAACCAGGCCACCGGATACAACAGACAGATGCACTCGAACCAGATATTTGAAATCGTTGTCACCTTTGGAAGCGGCATAATGCGCGCAATGCATGTTACTTGTGACTTGAAGGGCACCATAGCAGTCACCTTGGTCGTTCCTATATATGGAGGCCAAAGTGCCCAAGTCGACGTAACAGTCGCAACAATATCGGAATTTACCCAAATCAGCACCCGAACATGCATTCAATGTTTGGTTCCATGAGAAAGTACCGTGCAGAGTGAGCTTCTAATGCATGAGATGTCCATTTACTGCACCGAAACCCTGGCACTGTTGAACGCCTCTCGAGATAGACTAAGGGTTTCGACTTCAAACATACGGTAAAGCAAAATGGTAAAAGTTTCGACGAGCGACTTTCGCTGTCCAGTGTTCTGTACAACTGTTGGACGCTGAATGTGATGCAGATGACGGTTGTGAATCTTGAGTGCAAGTGTCCATTTGAGTCACTAACAGAGGATCAGTCCAAGTGCCTAATTTTTGCAGTTACCCTGACGGCCTTTGGGACGATATTCGCATCCGATTGCAGTTCAAAACAAATTCACTCAAGGCATATACCGATTTTAAGTTTGACCGTATTCTAGAGGTTGGAATGACCTATGAAAACACGGGGTTAGGTGGGTGGTGAGCATCCGACATCAATGAGCGCAACACTTGAGCACGTGTCACCGTTCAATAACATGAGAATCAACCATGACAGTCCCCAAAACTCCACTGCATCATAAATCACACTTCAATGACTTCGCCACAAGGCATCCTTCCAAAAGTCATGGAACAGGAAAGTTGAACAATAAATCCGATGAGGAGCGGCACATGCAGTTGTGAACCCCCATGCTGTCGATGATGATGATGAACCCCTATATAAGGTTCGGCTGTATAGGCAATACCCTGATTCTCAACGAGTAAAAGGCTGGTCGCCAGAACTTGGTGAATGGAGATGCAGCGACATGCAGTGGAAGGAAGTCAGATAACATAAACTTTGAAATACTGGTACCAACAGAGGAGTGAGGTTTTGACCACCTGGGCTAATAAATCTTGTCCGGTCGGCAAAACAGCTTTAGAACAACCCGCGCATATTCTGCTCAGTTCCAACATCTGCAAGTAACTACTGCAAGACACCGTGATCGATGCTTCCAAGCGTTTTTGCATAGTCAAAGAACAACAGCTTTGTCATTTATGTCAATTGAAAAAGCAAGCAAGCAAACTGGGCACTGTAGGAAGATACCAGTGGGGGGAAGGAGGCGCTCATCGATGTGGCTGAATCACGTAACCGATTGCGCACCAGTGTTCACCGATCACCTTCAATTGTTGAACATCCTATCCTCACTTCATCTTTGACACGCTTTTCTTTCAAGCTACTTTCTTCGTCAGTGGCCACTGACTGTTGCCAACACAACCTCCTGAACCCAACCTGAAAAAGAACACGACAGTTGCTGGCCTCCAACTCGATGAGTATAACCTCCTACGGGTATCGACCTTCACCATAATCGTCTTAATCAACAGTAGTGCCTAACTGCCATACAACCATAAGGGACATTATTGTCAAGGGATATAGGACGAATATGTGACCAGGCGGTCCAGGCTGGAAGACATAGAAAGAGGATCACAGGAATGACTTAGATCTTATACTACTGTGGTAATGAGCCTACATTTTCGTCTGGGTGCCACTCCCCATCCCATCGTTAGTCAACTATCAGTTACAGACATCTTTCCTTGTTCTCACGCACATGCTTAGACAGAACTGGAGTCCATACGAATAACGTCCATGTGCAGCAAAGCATAATACATAAGACTATCTGACATTAAAGCAAATAACCTGCCACAGGTCGAGACGAACGATGACGAGACGGACGAGAAGAGGGTCGACGTCAGGTCAAGGCAAACGGACTATAATGCACGCCGAGGTTAACTCGCAGACAAACAACAGAAGCGGATTATGCAAAATAAATGAACTCCATAAAATACACACCAGGTGGACCTGCTGCTTTTACCGACGGTTCAAGTGCCCCGAAAGGATGTTCGTACTTCCATAATCCCATGTTGTAGACACCATGTGCTGTGAGGAACTGCGCCATTTGGTTGTCGGAAAAGGAAACCAAGGTAGTGACTGCATAAACAGAGTATTGATCGGAAAGCCGAAAACGTACCTCGAGCAAACGCCAGTGGCAGGTCACACAAACGAGATTCAACTGACATGAAGGCTTTCATTTTTGAACACCATAGATGATGTCCATGATCCGGATTTGGTTCGGATAGAAAATCGATTTCTTTACATCTGCTACTACAATAATAGACGGCTTTGCACAACTCACTATGAAATTCAGTCAGTAAAAAATCAACGGGCTAGATGCCGTTACCATGTGTAGCTCTCTTGCGCTTGTAGCCGTTGACCGCAGACTAAACATGGAACGGACCATTCAGCCGCCATATCCGTAACTGATTTACGAAGTCCAGGTTAAAGACACTGAGATGAGGATGTTGAAGTGATCACATCCAGTGGCTTCATTCTATCAAATATATTGAAAAAAATTGGAGCAGACGTGATTACATGTGTAAAACATAGGTTACTACAAGTGACGGATGATGAAAAACTTGCGCTGTTGGTTGAGGAAACAACACTTGAGATCCCAAGGGTGTATTGTGCGGCTTTTGCCCAATTTAGACAATAAACCGCTCAGTGGAGTAAATACACTGGCACTGTGGGTATTTGGGGATGAACCAAGGAGCGAAGATCTGCTTATAACTACAAATCCAAAGGCGGTGGACGGGTGTTCCAGCGCGTATTTGGATTGTGAGCTTCTTGTCTACGTATCGCCAACAGTCTAGTAACATGGTATTAAATACAGCTTAGAAGCTTCATGAACACCCAACTACCCTATCAAAGTGGTTTAACGAGGTGACTGCGTGGTCCTATACGGTCGCTCTGTCATTCCAACTCTAGTGTACGCAAACCAGTCTCAGAACGAAAAAACGACCGTCCAGTGTTTTTCTGACTACAGAGTGAAAAATCCTCAGAAATATACTTCCAGACCGCTGCGGGAGGTATGGAAGATGCCTGCTCACATGCAAAAAAACTTCACGAAGGTCGACCACCATTAATCAAACAGGGGTGTGAGCATTACATTAACTGAACACAGACTGGCCCGTTTGTTTTAACTTCGTAATTCAGTGAAAAAAGAGTGGAGTTGTCACTCGGAAACGCAAAAGGTGCGCATTTCGCCAGTGTAAAATCATTGCAAAAGATTAGTCTGGACGCGCAATCACAACCTACTTTGCCGAAGAAGCACTCGAGGTGAATGATAGCCTTGCGCACCAGGAGAATCAAACATCGACAGACGGACATCTAACTGCCAAAATGGCATCAAAGTCCACCATCAAATCCACCAGGATAGCTTACGAGAGTACACAATACCTCTGGCATCGACGTTTTACCATCGCGTTTTACCAAGTCCGCTTTTGGCAACATGTTATTCAGCTCCAGTATTGATAGCAGCGAGTGCTATCAATACTCCTCGAGAAAAACTATAATTAGGAATTCTCAGGATATGATCATAACGGCACAGTTGGTTCCTTCATATAAGAGAAGTTCGTATCTTGTTCAAAACGCTGGTCCCACCATACATGGGCACAAGTTCATAAAAGTCGACGAGCGAAAACATTTGGTCTCTGAACATCCTTCAATCGGAAAGTTCGTTGTCCGGATGCTTGCTGTAGTACGGTGAGTTCAGTGACGCTGAACGCACGACCTTTCAACACAATATCTCGTCAATTCACAGTCACCACCATCTTCATCATTATCATCACCACCAGTGATGGCAATACAAGCTGAGAGCACTCAATCAATCGATCAACTTGTCAGTCATAAACCATATACCATAGGTGCGCTGTTTCCAGCTGCTGCAGTTCCGACTATCGCAAACTGGGAGAGCGTGGAACGTACAGGCAGATATTGAAGGCGATGGTACGTTCAATTAGTTAGAGTACTGGGTAGTTACGTAATGCAGGCAATAGCTTTAATGCACGAACGCCACCGACTTGTCCAATGGCGCAAATGGTGGAGCTCGTGCATCGAAGCTATCGCTTTCAATGCGTGGCTACCCAATTTCTGAACAAACTGAACATGACTTCGCCTCCAAGGCTTGATTGTACGTCCCACACTCGTCTTTGGGTGATCGAAACGGTAGCAGCTGACAAATTGAACTGAATTGACCGCGCAAATGGATCGATTTTGCCAGTGTCATAAAGCATAGGTGATGTGCGTCCCGGAGTCCCTATCCAGGGATGCGGCAGTTGTCGACCCGACTAAGTTTACCGGTTAGTGTTTTCATACTTTGTTGCTAAGTCACACACTATCCACCTCTCGGTCGCTTCCTATCAATACAGGGATGGGCAGTTCTATGGGGGAAGATGGTCCTCTGGCATGTCCTAACCAGCGTAACTAATGAAGGGTAAGTAATTCACCTATCGCGGGAGAGTTCCATCTTTCTAAAACCATCTAGCATTACTAAGCCGATGTTCTCACCAGACCCGATCAATGCTTCGGAAATACCGACGGTCTAACATTGACATCTGACAGCTTCTCTACCGTCAAATCATCTCAATTTGTTCTGGTGAAACCTCATAATTAAAAGGAACAAATGGAGCAAGGAGGACCTAGAGCTGGCCTACCATGAACATAAGAGTTACGTACACCCAGTCCTCAAACATCCGGATAGAAACTCAGCGCAAACGCCACTGGCGTAGTTCAGTCACCTCAATCGGATCGTCCGTAATTATGAGGTTTGGGTTCGAGTCCATCCTGACTTGAAGCAGTGCTCTACAACTTGCACTTGTGAAACGCATATCGGACTGTGGGGCTGAATCAGATTATTTACTATTATCTGCATTACGATGGCGCTAGATTCCAGAATAGCGATGTCGTCTGCATACTCGATACCTGTTAGCAAATGTTTTAGGAGCCTTTAGATCCCACAGGCATCAGAGGCTGTGAGTGAATCTTTCAGGATCATATCTTGCACGCAGTCATGCTGTTTGAAACTAACTGTCGTAAAATTGGGCGCCAGATAGTCACACCACGTAAGCTGTTGCATCGGTTGCATGAACAGTCTGTTGTCTGCATACGATTAGAGCGAAAATACTCCCATTGTCACTTAAGTAGGTTTCGGTGGACTAATGCCATTCCAACTCTAACCCACCAACTAGGGTATTCATATATCAATGGCTATGTCACATCTGTGAACAGGCTGATTTAGTCAGTGACAGAAATTCTTTCAAGAATTTAATATAGCCATCAGCAACAGGTACATATATGCCCGGGAATGGACCCGAATCTTACTAACTAACTGGGATCCAGTTGACACTAGTAGATTTATAGTGGAACTCCAATCCGGTCAAGTTTAATTCCATTCTCATAAACGCACAAGTTTCCGGCCTGTCAGTTGATCTGCTACTTGGCGGAATCATACGACAAAGCTGGCTCGGTACGTTCAAAATCGGTTTCGTTTTTTGTTCGTGCAAATTTATTAACAAGTTCTTTCACTGCTGCATCTATTTAGAGTTGACAGGTGTAATTTCGTTGATTTTTCAATCTAGTATAAGTTGTGCGTGAAACACTGTCAGGCTGCACTCCATTTCTGCGGTGCACCCACTTATTCACAATCATGAGCCAAAGTGACAGGCTAGTATGCCATTGCCAGGCCACAAAACATGTTGACGAAATGGATATCCATCAAATGCGAGACGTGCAATGCCATGTTACGCTTGCCAGACCCGTGGCATTTTAATTGTACGGGTTTGCAGAACGTCCAGATAAACCGACTGTCCAACCCCACTTACCCATGTCTGCGCCAGCTTTCTCTACCTTACAGGTGCTGTATATTCCACAAATGGCAGGATACTTGCCGATTATTAAACTCAATCACCACCTCTAAATATAGAAGACCGGTGCAAATGTTCCACTTTAACAAGGACGCGCGAGGGTAAATGGTACTCCTTTCGAAGGCTTTGGAAGATGCACATAAAAAGAACGTAGCGATCTGGACGAAAGTCGACAACAAACTTTCCTCCCTGAACTAGTACCTAGCATTCTACATCCCAGGCTCGTTGGCTGCGAACGTGATCAAGATCTCTGAAGCGGCAATCAAATCTTCCACGGTGTCTGTAGAGGACATGCGCATGAATGAGTCCAGGATGATGATCTGGAGGTCGTTTTCCTGAAACAAGAGCCAAAAAATGGCAAAGTCACCTCTTGGTGATGTCGTTACAAATTCTGAATACAAGCCATTTCACGCAGAATGGTTATGTGGAAAGGGGAGCAAGCGAACATCTGGGCTTCTAGTCACACTTTTCTCCTTACCTGCCACACAAGGGATCCTAGAGCAGTCTATAAGTATCCGAAAAGCCTTTAGAAAGATCAAGTGTGTCCGAAGATCACCCTGTAGAAGCACGAAAAGCGGGTCACAGCGTTTCCAAAAGAAAGGTACGAAATAGGCTTCCGTCTGCCGATTAATCCACCGATCCAAAACCTATGACCAAACCGGAGGGGGTTGTGGACTCTTGTGCTCTCAAGAGCATGCCGATGCAACTGACGGCGACTGCAAATTGCAGCTTCTAATCAACCGTCTCATACCCATCGACTACAAACAACAGTGACCCTCAAAGTGAGATAAGCCTCGCGATGACAGAGCATCCAAAGTATTCGGAACTACCGTCACTTATTTCCTTAGCATATGATGGAGCGACAGCTGAATTGGGTCAGCTGCGTAGAGATCGATCCGCCGACAGAGCAGCTGCAAGCGCTGACCCCGACGTCGCGGACTGATGCAAGAGTCCCATGAACACTGACCAATTAGCCAGGACGAAACTAGCATCGACGCTTCCACCTCATGAGGCAGCCTTGGTGAACTATCACGAGAGATTTTTCTGAAGATGCATAATTGCCAACACCCAGCCCCACTCCGTCAAATGCTGTCAATCTGACTGTGGATCCAGTCGTCACTCATGACCCCGATGGACAAAGCCACAAGTGCGATAACAGTGTACCTGAAAATTCTACGTATATCGAGTTGGACAAGCTGATTGCGGACGGCCCGGAAGTCGATATAAACAAAAAAGAAAGCGATCACGGTCGGATAAATCACGAGAACCTCCCCGATCGGAAGTCGTCATCATCAGAGCCAGGAACGTCAGGGTTGACACTGATAGTTC